TAATGTGACTGATTGATTGTTTATTTCAATTAAAATTGACATTTAAGCTCTTGGGCGGGTCTTATAATGTTTTCAGGTCAAACATCCCATAATAAAAGACACCCCCCCCCCCCCCCCCCCCCCCCCTATTAAAGACCCCGGTCCCCTATTTAGGGGGGGGTCTTTTTATCCGGGGGAATACGGGCAAAAACACAATACAGCTATGTCACCATCGGTCATGTTACGACATGAAACAATTACACAAACATTTATTTAGTGAGAAAATCTTTACATGAAGAGTGTAGAACCGAGGTCGAAGACCGACCAGCAAAAGCGGTTATCAAAGACGGTTACAACAGGAGTATTTGAAATGTCATGCACGGGAAAACCATTAAAATGGTCAGCAAATCGCATAATTCCCGATATATATTAGCCTTAAGGGGAATGTGCCCCCTTAGAATACTCGTCTAGATTGGAGCTTTTGCACTCCTTTGGCTATGGGATATATTTAGGAGGAACGAAATGGCGGAGGTTCGGTGTACTTTGTGTGCACGCCTTGAGAACTGTACGACCTCTTGAAGTGTGGGCTTTGGCAGCATACGCCCTTGAATGGAAAATATAATTGAGCATGGTTGGACGTTGGGGCTGACCTCAGCAGCATTCTGGGTCCAGGTCGAGGGACTCTTTCGGCTAGGGGCATGCATTTGTTACCTGTGATCATTTCCTTCATCAATATTTGTCGTTGTCCCTGCTTCTGGACACAAGCGTGAATCTCAAACCGCGTATCGCATTTGTCAACGCTGACGTGTCCAGCATTGGCTAAAATTCTAGCCAACCAGTACGAAGATTGAGTCCTTGCTCGGCGCCCATAAGCTGTACAGTGCACTGTCCATTTGAAGTCCAACTTTACTGTGGGGGTTGAGCCAAAGACTTGCGGTTGACAAGCCAGTTGGCAGCTGCTCTGCTGGCCGGCTGCGGGACGGGGCTGGCTTTTGCGAGTGAGGAACCAAGTCTTCTGGAATTCTCATGGACTGTGCAACGGACAAGTCACTCCTCCCCAAGGGCAGAATTGACATCGAAATCGGCGGGTCAGGGGCAGGTCATCCAAATCATGGAAACACAAACATACATCCTGGGAAGGAATGCTTATCCAAACTAGTCCCAAATTCCAAGCCTTGATTTCATGAACTCGTTTGGTCAGGGCTCAAGCACAGCAAGCAATTGCTCAAGTGACAGGGCAGGTTTCTCGTCCCGACGGTCAAGGCTGTTTCGTGATGCGGCCTATCGGATTGGGGCAACTTGAAGTGAGCTTTCTGCGTCAGTCTGGGAACACTTGCAGTGCTTTTGGTGCTGCTGGTGTGCTCTGCCTGTGACTGCCAAAGGTTCGCGTTCGCGCTGCTAGTTCTCTGATTTGAGCACATTGCCACGTGGGAACGACCACAATTGGTACAAGTGCTGTCTAGTGAATGCTGAAAACGTTTAGTTTTTCGCTAAAACATTTTGGGGCGGGTGCAGTGATTTCATCCACATAGCCTCCATTTGACAACTTGCGCTTTCAATTACCCTGCGAGTTGGAGTGACATTCACGGGCAGCCAGCACTGTAAGATTCTGAGGGCAGCCGTACGAGGTGCAGCTGGTTCCACGACCACCGGCAAGCGGCACACACGACAGCTGCTCGCAGCCGGGCAGAGCAAACCACTTGTGGGTGCACCTCCGCGCACGAAAGCGTGGTGGAGAGCCAGGAGGAAAGGCGTTATGTCTGTTCACACCGCTCCACTCCACTCCACACTTGCCATCTTGCATAACCATTCCTGTGCACAGCCAGCACCAAACTGAGCAACCAAAATCCAACTCTGCTCAGTTTGCAATGGCAGGAGGAGAGGACAATCTCTCGAGTCTCTGGTCTCGCGTCCTCGCTTCCAGTGGCACTGTGATGCACAAAGGTCAACCTAGCAGCCTACGCACCACTCCCACGACTCCTACAGCGCACATAGAGTCGGCTCTCGCTCAGCTACAGTCACAGCTGCATCAATCGTCTCCCCAGTGAGCCTCGCGTCGCTCCCTACGTTTTATAAAAATGCTGAACCATTTTTTTCTGAACGCTTCCTCTATTATGGTTCACATCCTGCGCACGTCTCCCTTCCGAGTGCACGCTAATTTTTTTCCCTTCCCCGTCGTCTCTGTGTTCCGATCTCTCTCCCCTCCAGCGCACTCGAGCCGCGCCAACACACGCCAGCACCAGCGGCGGCGGGCGGCGAGGCGTTCAACATCGAGTCGGCGTCGGCGGGCCCGTGGGCGTCGTCTCGTGCGCCCGCGTCGGGCGGCACGGCGGCGGGGATGAGTGCGGCGCTGGGGGCGGGCGGGATGGAGTCGCAGCTGAACCACATGGGCATGGGCATGGCCTACCCATACCTCCTCTACTCGCGCGGCCTCGCTGCCTCCACCGCAGCGGCGGGCGGCAGCGCGGCGGGCGCATTGCCGTTCGGGCTGCTGGGGGAGTCTTCCGCCACGGCGGCTGGCCTTCCCTCCTCCATGCCGTCCGTCGACGCCTTTCTGGCCGGCAACCACGCAGCCGCCGCGGCGGCGGCAGCAGCGGGTGTGTCGGCGTCGTCCGACGTGTCGGCGTCTCGCGATCTGTCAGCATCCGCGCATCCTGCGGCTGATCTCTCCACCAGAGCGGGGTCCCGCTTTAACTTCGCCGCATTTCCTCCCGCCGCCGGCGCAGACGCCTCGCAGGGGGCCTCGGCGGCGCTGCTCAACTTCTCCGGCCTCTTCGGTCAGTCCGCGCCCGCTGCTCGGGGCGCACCCAGCGGCAGCACTGCGCCGAGCGACGCGCATCATGGGCAGGGGCACCTGGCGGTGCTGCCGTTGGCTGGCTGCGAGAATTCGGCGCGCAGCGTGGGCAGCGGCGGTGGCGCTATGGGCGCGAACGACGCGGCTTCGGGGATGCTGTCGTCGTGGTTGCAGCAACACTCAGGTACGCCAAGCATCGGTTAGTACCGCTACTGCTCGTTCATGCATGATCGCTTCCGCGAGGTAAATGACGATTGTGCACGATGCTCAACTGCGGATCTGTGTGACCCGCGCTTCCCTCCCGCGCGCCTTCCCTTTCCGCCAGGCCTGGCGGCGTTGGAGCTCGCGCCAGCCAGCACCTTGGAGCAGTCCGGCGCACCGCGCTCCTCTCACCTACACGACCAACACCTGCCGCCGTCCCACTCCGCGTTCCCGTTCGCCCGCACTGCCTCCGCGCCCTCCCACTCCCACGTGCTTCTCCCCGCGTCCGGCCCCCCAAGCGCGTCGGTACCCGGCGGCATCGACTTCAGCAGCCAGCTCGGCGCCATCATGCGCGCCGGCCTCGCCCCCTCCCATGCGCCCCCGCTCGCCGCCTCCGCGCCCCTCTCCTCCCCGTCGCGTGGCGCCTCCAAGCCTCCCGCGGGAGAGTCAGCGGCGACGGCTCAGCAGAAGCGGGCGGCGGAGGAGCGCGAGATGCAGCTGCTGCCGCGCTCCAAGCGGATGGCGCCGCCGGGAGGCGCAGGCGGACCGTTCCGCGACAGCGAGGGCGGGGGAAAGGTGCACAGAACGGGCTTGGGGGGGATTTCCGCTGTGGCAGGGCCCGGGGCGCTGAATCTTGGGCGCATGGCGGCAGGGTTGGGGGAGGACGTGGCACGCGCAGCGGCGAACGGACGACTGTTGGCGTCGGAGGATGGCGTGCTGTGTAAGATACGCGCTAAGCGAGGCTGCGCTACCCACCCTCGCAGCATCGCCGAACGGGTACGACGCCCTTTTTACACTCCATTGCCTTTCCTTCCACCGCCCTTCACTGCTGAGCACCACGTTGCACCGCACTATCTACACTGAAGTTGCTGCCGCCTAGCGTTGACCTCACCCCACTCTGAACCCCTGGCCCATCCCCATGCCTGTGTGGTGCAGGTGCGGCGGTCGCGCATAGCGGACAACATGAAGCGGCTGGCGGAGCTGGTGCCCAACACGGACAAGCAGGCCAACACGGCCGACATGCTGGACGATGCTATTGACTACATGCGCCACCTGCAGCAGCAACTGCAGGTCAGCCCCGTGCACGCCACAACAGGTGCTGGTCAGTCACCCCACCCACGTCCACCCGCAGCTGCAGGTCAGCCCCGGTGTACGTCTGCCCCGGTGCAGGTCAGCGAAGAACGCCCGTCATGCTCACCACCTCATGCTCCCTTCTCCCTCTCCCCTCCCCTGCTCGGCCCCCGTGCATCCCCCAGGCGGTGGCAGTGCAGCACGCCGACGTGGTGATCGAGCGCTTTGTGAGCCGCTTTGAGCGCCAGCGCGGCGCCGAGGACGGCGAGGCACGTGACGACCGCAGCGACGGTGGCGAGGACGGGGGCAGCTGGCGGGACGACGGTGGAGGCGAGATGGAGAGGGGCGAGTCGGACGGCAGCAGAGGCAGTGGCAGGGAGGGCGGGTATGGTGAGGGAGAGAGGGGGGACGTGATGGGAGAGATGGATCAGCTGGCGTTCACTCTGCAAGCAGACAAGGCGTTGGTGGGCGGTGTAGGCAGCAGTGGTGGCGGCAGCAGACAGGAGGAGCCCTCTGTGCTGCTGCAGCAGCAGCAGCAGCTGACCAGCCCACGTGGCTTTCACCTGTGACAGTGCATGCACACACCCCACCTGCATCCCATGTCCTGTGCCCTGCTGCCCTGCGTGGATCATGCAGCACTGCTTTCGCACCACCCTAGTCCGTCTACCCATGCATAGCATACGTACAACGATCCCTGACCTGCACTGCATATAGTAGCCTAGAAGGCCCGTGTAAAGTGGTTCTATATATATGACTACTATAAAATGCAAAACCATTTGGAAGCCACACTCTAAAGTGGGGAAGGAACAGGCAGGCAGCACGAGAGCACACGCCTCATGTGGCTGGGCATGCCCCAAACGGGATCGTAGCCCGTGCCATGAGCTGGAATGTGGTGGACGGTGTGCTGAGAGCACTGCACGTTACCGTTACCCATTACCATTACTGTGACGATGGTTCATCCCATGTGGTGCACACATGCACCCCAAGAGCCCAACCTGCGGCTGACCCCACTCTGTGAAGGGCTGAGGCGGGGCAGCACGAGGCGGGGCAGTGTAAGCGGGGCGGCATGAGGCGGGGCAGTGTAAGCGGGGCGGCATGAGGCGGGGCAGCGTAAGCGGGGCGGCATGGAGCGGGAGGCAAGCGGTGGGTTGTGAGGCGGGGCGGCATCAGGAGGTGATGTGTTCGAGGAGAGCGAGGGCGCTGTCCAGCGCATCAGGGGAGGCGAAGTCCTGCAGCAGTAGCTGTGGTGGACAGTGGGGGTGCGGGGGTGCGGGGGTGAGGGGAACATGGGGGAGAGGTGGTGAGGGAGAGAAGGGAGGGGGAAGAGGGAGAGAAGGGAGGGGGAAGAGGGAGAGAAGGGAGGGGGAAGAGGGAGGCAGGGAGCCAGAGAGAGGGGGGAAATGCGACAGAGGAAACATAGGCAGTGGCGATCAGGGCAGGGTGGGTGGAGGGATGAGAGCCCCCCGCAGCACCCACCGAGCTGTGCGCCCCCGACAGCACCCACCGAGGTGTGCGCGCCTGAGAGGTCGATCTTGAGCTGGTCGCTGCTGTCGCCCCGCTTGGCTGCTTGCTTCCCCACCCCCGCCACCTCCGCTGCCTCCAGCTTTATCTGCCCCACCGCCCCACCCCAGCCCACACATGGCACGCCCCACCCCAGCCCACACATGGCACGCCCCACCCCAGCCCACACATGGCACGCCCCACCCCAGCCCACACATGGCACGCCCCACCCCAGCCCACACATGGCACGCCCCACCCCAGCCCACACATGGCACGCCCCACCCCAGCCCACACATGGCACGCCCCACCCCAGCCCACACATGGCACGCCCCACCCCAGCCCACACATGGCACGCCCCACCCCAGCCCACACATGGCACGCCCCACCCCAGCCCACACATGGCACGCCCCACCCCAGCCCACACATGGCACGCCCCACCCCAGCCCACACATGGCACGCCCCACCCCAGCCCACACATGGCACGCCCCACCCCAGCCCACACATGGCACGCCCCACCCCAGCCCACACATGGCACGCCCCACCCCAGCCCACACATGGCACGCCCCACCCCAGCCCACACATGGCACGCCCCACCCCAGCCCACACATGGCACGGCCACCCCCAGCCCACACATGGCACGCCCCCCCCCAGCCCACACATGGCACGGCCCCCCCCAGCCCACACATGGCACGCCCCCCCCCAGCCCACACATGGCACGGCCCCGGGCAGCACCGAGAGGAATGTGGGGAGGGGAGTGGGCAAGGGCATGGAAGTGGGCAAGGAAAAGGAACAAGGGCGGGAATGGCGGGGGGAAGGGAGTGGGAAAATGGTGAACTTAATGGGGCGAGGCAAAGAGAGACGGGGTTGGTGAGCATAGAGGGGCTGCTGGATGAGCAGCAGGGCAGGGCCCTCACGGGGATGCGGCGTCCACTGTCGTCAAGGCAGAGGCAGACGTGCTGGTGTGTGATGTAGAGCGTGCCCCTGAAGGCCCTCCGCATGTCGGGCGTGAACGTGTTGTACACTGGTCGGTACAGCTGCAGCAGCCGACAGGGGAAGGCTGGGGGCCGTGGGAGAAGAGGGAGTGAGAAAGGGGGTGGAGTGGGAGGTGGGGTTGAGAAGTGAAGTGATGCGCAGAGCGGAGAGAAGGGAGAGGTATGAGGAGGGCGTACGGTGGAGAGGGTGAGAAGGGGAAAGAAGTATATGGCAGTGTGGAGTGTGAGGAATTCACGAGATGATGACTGCAAAAGGAATGCGGCAGGAAGGATGAAGGATGGGGGAGGATGGGGAAGGGAGTGTTGAGGAAAGGGGGCAACAGGCACAGCACCACAGCAGCCCAGCAGCACAGCATGCACGGCTCGCATGGAACATTCCACGCACCTTCCAGCAGGGTCTCATGGGTGGGGAGGCCAAAGATGGCCTGCAGGTCGATGGCTCTGGACGGGTGGGGCGACCGCGCACTGCCCTCCGCCCCTGCCTGCCCCTCCTCCTCCGCGCCCCCCGTCCCCCTGCCATCACTGCCCCCCCTGGCCTTGTGCGCCTCTGCCTGCGCTGCGCTGCTGCCACCCCCGGCGGCGGCGGGAGCAGTGGGCTTGTCGAAGGGGTAGGCGATAGCGGAGTCAAAGACACTGAAGAGCGACACAAAGCCCGTGCTCAGCCCTGTCACCTGCTCCACGCGCTCCCATGCATGCACACATGCACGCACACATGCATGCACACATGCACGCACACATGCACGCACACATGCACGCACACGCACACATGCACGCACACATGCACGCACACATGCACGCACACGCACACATGCACGCACACATGCACGCACACATGCACGCACACATGCACGCACACGCACACATGCACGCACACATGCACGCACACATGCACGCACACGCACACATGCACGCACACATGCACACACACCCCCATGCATGCACGCATGCACGCACTCCCACATGCATGCACACACTCGCATGCATGCACTCATGCACCCCACACCCACGTGCAAACACACACTCACATGCACCGCACACCCACATGCACCGCACACCCACATGCACCGCACACCCACATGCATCGCACACCCACATGCACCGCACACACTCACATGCATGCACACATGCACGCACAGGCACACACAGGAACACGCATGCACGCATGCACGCGCACTCGCACTCGCACGCACGCACGCACACGCGCGCACACACACGCACACGTACGCACACACGCCCGCCCGCACGCACGCACGCACGCACACACGCGGGGAGAGGAGGGGAGGGGAGGGGCTGTGAGGGAGGTGGCGACGTGGAGGTGAGGCCGCAGGGAGGGCTTTAAAGAATGCCAAGAGTGCCGCACACTGTTGCCCCTCACCCGCTCCCCCGCTCGCCCCGCATTCTCTCGATCTTCCCCCGTCCGCCCCACTCCCCCCACCCACACTTTTTTTTTCCCCCGCCCAACCCTCCCGCGCGTCCTTCCCCTCTCCCCCCCCCCCCTCCCCCCCAACTCACCCGCTCGCCCAGGCTGCTCACGACGGCGGCTGCCTCGGCGCCCGCGCTGCTCGCGAGACCCGCCACGCCCGCAGCCACGCCCGCCGCCACCTGCCCCACAGCCGCCGCCACCTCGCCCTGCCCCGACCCCGCCGCGCCTCTCTCTCGCCCGTGCGCTTTCGACGGCGACACCAGCGCCGCTGCGGATTCCGCCTCGTCCTGCCCCGGGGGCTCCGCGCGTTCCTTCCGCGGATCGCCGGGCGCGCCATCGCTGCATGGTGGTTCCGCGGACGAGTCGTCCGCCTTCGACTCCGCCCCGCCAGCGGCTGCGCCCCCTGCGGCCTCCCTGTCTGCCAGTTCGCCAACCGTAGTCACATCGGACGGACCCGGTCGCTCCACGAGAATTGGAGAATCTGAGCCGTCCGATTGGGAGTCCGCGGCGTCTGAGTGGGTGGACGCCATGACAGCCGCCACGAGCGGCGCGCGGACCGTCGCTGCCGCGCCTGTGGGGCGAGGATTGGAAGGAGTGAGGAGCTTGAGACTCTAGGGGTTGCCGCGTGCCGACTCGAGTGCGCTCGCGCGCGACGATGGAAATGAGGCTGTGGCGTAGGAAAAGCTAGGAAAATGGTGCAATATGGGCAGCATCCGTGAGCGAACCCGTCAGTGGTTCGGCGGAAGTCGATGGAAGGTGATGGCGAAATAGTTTTGATTCAGTGTAGCTTTTGTGCAAATAGTTAAAAGAAAAGGTTAGAATATTTTGATTGAGATACTTGAACGGACTGTTGTCCTTTTGAGCCGACTAACTGATGTTAACATTTCATCTCTAATCCTGGTGAGGGCGGTCGGCCTGGGGTGGCAGGGCAGCGGGCAGATGGTCGGGCGGCTGGAAGCCAGGCAGCAGCGATGTGAGGAAGCCCACCACAAACACCTGCACCTCCTGTAGCCATCCCCGCCTCTGCTGCTGCTGCTGCTGCACTCCCTGCTGTGGTGGCTGCTGTTGCAAGGCTTGAACGGCTGCAGCACACAAGATGAGACGAAGGATGTGACACACAATGAGACTGAAGATGGGAATGAGGAATAACGGAGCATGAAAGGCAAGGCGAGAAGCAGCCAGTGAAGGGAGGGGTGGCACAGTCAAGCAACGGCATGCAAGCGGGGTGGGGCTAGGCAAGAGGGGTGGGGCAGAGAGCACTTAGCCTCGCACCTGCTTGGCCCTGCACACCACCTGCCGCCCCGCCGACACCTCCCTCCACCCCTGCCGCCCCTCCCCCACCCCCTGCAGCCCCGGCTCCAGCCTGAGGTGGCACAGCAGCGTGGGGGGCAGCAGCGGCGTGGGGGGGGTGGGGAGGCAGGCCCATGGCGGCCTGCGCGCGGTGGGAGAGCCATCGCAGCAGCGGCGCCAGCACGCCCGCTTGGTACCTGCCCATGGGGGAGAGGGCGCAGAGCGCAGAGAAGAGGGTGTGAGGAGGACGGGAAAGAGGTGAAGAGCTGACACAGCTGCCACATGCTGGTGTGAGTTAACGAAAAGCTGGGCGGCTCACAGGTAGATGAAGAGAGCAGCAGCGATGAGGGCAAAGAAGCGGCGGTAGCCCCCGCCCTGGCCGAACACATAGACGAGCAGCGTGAGCTTGAGCAGCAGCATGAGGTCGATGCGGATCGCAAACTGAATGCGCCGCACTCTAGGCGCGCCCTCCACTGCTGCCGCCCCCCCCACCCCCACATGCCCTGCTGCATCTCCTGCCGCCCTGCCTCCTCCTGGCACTCCTGCAAGCCCACCTGCGCCCCCCCTCTGTGCAGCAGCGGCGGCAGCAGCAGCAGCGGCCATGGCAGCGTGGTGCTCTGCCATCTGCTGCTGCCGCACTGCCTGCATCACCGCCTGCAGCCGCTGCTGCAGCTGCTGCTGCCACTCCTCCTCCACCCCTCCCACTGCGCCCGCCTGCCGCACATGCTGCTGCACGGCCGCCGCTGCTGCCGCCTCCTCCCCCACGGCACCTGGCGCTGCAGCAGGGGCGGCGGGATGGGGCTGTGCTGCCCCTGCCTGAGGCAAAGGTGCTGCCGCTGGTGCGGGCGGTGGTGGTGCGAGGCCCACAGTGGGTGGGTGGTGCGGGTGGGTGTGCACAGGCGCGCCAACAGGGGGGGCAGGGCTGGCAGCACACGGCAGAGGCACAGATGCAGGGGCACATGGTGGGGCGAGGGGATCAAGTGGAGAACAAGGATAAGAATGTGAAGGAACAGTTGCAGTGGGCTCAAGGCTAAAAGGAAAAAACTAAATCAGTCCAACTGTAAGCATGAAGAGATAAAGGAGCCTCTCGCACTGCTAAGATGCCTCTCGCACTGCTATGATGCCTCTCACACTGCTAAGACGCCTAATGCACTCTAAAAAACAGCTCACCTGTTGCCGTTGCTGGCGAATGGGTGCGGAGGAGGCATGGTGGGTGGGAAGGCGAAGGGAGGCATGGGAGGGGCAAAGGCGATGGGTGCGAGGGGATCACCCGGCATGGGCATGGGCGGAGGGGAGGGCCAGGGAAAAGGGAAAGCGAAGGGGAAGGGCATGGGCGGCATGGAGAGGGGGAGCAGAGGGGAGTGCAGTAAAGGTGGGTAGAGGGCTGATGCAGGCATGGAAGAGTCAGCAGGCAGCATGAAGGGCGGCAGCGTGAAAGGCGAGTATGGCGGCGGAAGGGCCGGCAGGGGCGGCGCCATGAGAGGCGAGAAGGGCAGAGGCGGCAGGCCAGTGGGCGCAGTGTGTTGCAGCGCACCGAGCAGCTGCGAGGGGCCCAGGATGGAGAGGGGGAGAGAGGGGAGGACGGGGAGAGGGTAGGGAGGCGTGTGAACAGAGCAGACAGGAGAGAGGAGGAGCGAGGGTTGAGTGGAGAGGGGAGGGTAGAGAGGAGAGGAAAGGGTAGAGATGAGCGGCGAGGGTAGAGAGCGGGAAGAGGAGGGCGAACGTGGCAGCAGAAGCGACTGAATACTCACCTGAAGGATGGCTTGCTGCTGCTCTCCCCCCCCAGCAGCGGCAGCGGCCTGCGTAACAGCTGGAGCTGTTGTTGCTGCTGTGGGTGCTGCTGTGGGTGCTCGCCCTCCTGCCTCTCCCCCGCTCGCTGTAAGCCCCCCATCCGCTGCGCCAGGACCCGCGGCTGCAGCAGCCACAGCGGGCGCCGCAGCTGCAGCGGCCGGCGCTACAGCCGGCCCGTCCGCCTCCACTGCGTGCGCCTGCCCGGACCCCGGGACAGCGCCTGCGCGCTGCAGTGAGGCGGCGGCGGCGGGCGCAGGGATTGGCGCAGGCGCGGCAGGGAAAGGAGCAAGCGCGAGGTTGGAGGCAGGGAGGGTGGCGCGCGAGTGGGCGCGCGCGGAGGAGGAGGGCGTGGGGGAGACGGAGCGGCTGGAGTGAGTCGTGGAGGGCGCGGAAGAGGGCGCGGAGGACGGCGCGGAGGAGGTGCCGGGGGGAGCGGAAGAGACGACGAGGTGCATCACCTGGGGCTCGCTCAGGTTCTTCTGCGCGCGGAGGAGCGCAGGGGGGGAGAGGGAAGCGCAGAGATTGGTGGCACGTGAAACGAGTCACACTCAAGCACATCCTTTCCCCTGACGCACTTGCACGTGACGGAACAAGAAAATCATACTGACTGAATCTTTAGGCTCGCACTCCCGAATAACAAGAATTTCCGGCAGCAACCAGAGTCTTCCTCCCACCATGACTCTGATCGACGACTCTAGACGTATAGCTCCGCGACATGCGGCAATAACGATGAGAGAGCGCCGACCACGCGTTAAACGACTGAGACGGTCGGAACAAAGCGTGCGAGCGGACCTGTTTAAATACGTCGCGGACGAGGAGCGAGTCTTTCACGAGCTGGCCGGCGACGATCAGCTTCTGTCGCGACGGGTCGGGGTGTCCCGCGTACTCTTCCTGCAGCTGTCGCTTCACGTCGCCCACCGTGCCCGCCGCTCGCACTCGCGTCCTGAAGTCGCCTGGCGACGACGCGGAGGGGTTCTTGATGACGACCGTGACCATCGCCTCGCCCTCCACCTCCGGCGACTGCCCCCCCTCCGATGCCATCAAGAAGCCTGCTGCCGCTGACCGGGAAAAACGGATTAATCACTGACGACTGAGGAATCACAAAGATTTTATGTGCGGAATTGACGCGTGGGGTTGCGGATCGAAGGGCAAGCAGTTGATGAGAGAGAGGAGTGGAATGAGCAGCAACAAGAGGTGGTTCATTGATTCTGCCGAGTTTCCTTTCCCGCCAATACCACCATCCTGCCGTTTCTGGAATTCCGAAAGTCGTTTCGCCAGCAAAGATTTACACGCACTGGGCGAATTTTGCGAAACCGATGCAGGCGAAATCGTCCAATTTCTGGGAGTTGCACCGCACAGTACCACGGAATCTCCTTCCAGAAGTTGGAAGGGGCACAGCTGGCGTGGAATTCACGGTAGTGGCACCACGAATGATATCAGGCAAGAATTTCTGAATGTCTTTCTGGAAATAATGTCAGTGCGCTTCTTCAGTAAAACTATTAGCTTGTACGGATTCGTTATTGCAGGTAACATCATTGTCACCGAACGCAGAAGCACGCCTAAACGTGTGCGAGTGCTAATTGCGTAGGTCGCACTGGGTACGTAAGATTCCTTCAAGGGGAGTGATGTTGTGGGTCCACACACGTGTGTGACGCGCGGCGTGCGTGTGTGCGCGCATGGCGGGCAAAAAGAAGGCGCGCGGCCATCGAGGCGGAGGCGGCCGCGCGGGGGCCGGGCGGCATCGGCGGGACGAGGAGGAGGAGGACGAGGAGCTGCGCGCGCAGCAGCTCGACGAGCTCACCGCCATGTACGCCCCGCCGCACCCCTGTCAACGGACGTATGGCTGAAACCACAGGCCGTGTGTTGGCGTCATTTTTCATGTCTGGAGGCCTATCCACCCACATGGCTGCACTCCAATAGCATTTGTTGCTCTTTTGACCTGTCGCCCCTCCGCCTTTCCCCCTGCCCTGGGCAGCTCCGCCATCTTCGCGGACGACTTTGAGCTGCGCGCGGAGCGGCCGCTGGTGGAGTATGCGCTGCTGCTGCGCCCGCACTACTCCTTCGCCGCCCACGCCAACCTCGACGCCGTCTCCCTCCACCTCGTCGTCAGGCAAGCCCCTCCCCAGGCAAGCCCGCCCCCAGGCAAGCCCGCTCCCAGGCAAGCCCGCTCCCAGGCAAGCCCGCTCCCAGGCAAGCCCGCTCCCAGGGAAGGTCGTGGTGTGGCAGTATTGCGGTGAGGCAGTGAGGTGTGGGGTGGTCGTGGAGGGGTGCAGCGGGAGAGGTGGCCGCGTCCACTCCCTCATTGCCTCCCCTTCCCCTGCCCGCGCCCCTCGTGCAGGTATGTGGCAGGATATCCGAGGCGGGCGTTGAAGCTGCGAGTGGAGGCGCGGGAGGGGCTGGAGCAGGAGGACGTGGTGGAGCTGGTGGCGCTGCTGCACGACCAGGTGGGGTCAGGCCAGGGCACAGGGGGGTGAGGGACCAACAGGCGCCTCTCTGCTCTCCGCACTGCCACTCCCCGTCCCTTGTCTATCTCCCTCCTTGCTTCCAACCAAGTCCGCCTTTCCAACGTGGCTGGGTCCATTGTTGTGTGCCTATGCGTTGCGGCTTTGCCTTGAGCGTTCACCTGACCATGCGTGCTGCACACGGCGTGTGGCAATGCAGGCAGCACGGGCAGCACGGGAGGGGCGAGTGACGGTATTCAACCTTGCCGAGACGGCACAAGAGTTCCTCTCTCGCCGCCTCTCGTCACTGTCACCCGCCACACACCACCCTCTTGCTCCCACCCAGGTGCGCTTTGTTCATCGCCCTTCACCTGTGTGCTGCATGTGTCTCTGCATTTCTAACTTCATTCCCCATCGCCGTCACAGCTCTCGCGTTGCGTGCGCTGGCGTCTTAACACTCCATCTTGGAGTGCTTGCAGGCGGGCAGCGATGGGGAGGAGGCAGAAGGCGAGGCGGCGGGCGGGGAGGAGGGGTGGGAGGAGGAGGGGTGGGCGTGGGAGGACAGTGTGGACGCGGGGCTCTTCTCCGACCCCCTCTCTGCCCTCCCCCTCGCCCCCGCTGCCTGGCCCCCTGGCCCAGGCACTGCAGGCGCAGGCAGGGGCAGGGGCAGAGGCAGGGGCGCAGGCAGGGGCAGAGGCGCGGGGGGCAGTCAGGAGGGCGGAGCTGGGAGGGGCGAGGTGGGGGGTGGAGGGCGAGGGAAAGGAAGAGGAGCGAGTGCAGGAGGAAGAGGGGGCCTCGGTGGCAGGCCAGGGGGAGAGGGGCGAGGCACAGAAGCTAGGGAGGGAAGGAGTGGAGGTACCGCTTTGGCTGGTGGTGGCGGTGGTGTGGGGAGGCCGGGTGGCGTGGGTGGTGCGGTGAAGATGCAAAGGCAGCAGAGTGAAGAAGCAAGCGAGTCGTCACACGAGGGAGAGGAGGGGGATGACGACGAGGAGGAGGAGCAGGAGAGTGGAGAGGAGGAGAGCCAAGGCAGCGGCGGCAGAGGGAGGCAGAGGGGCAGGGGGCTGTGGCAGCATGGGGGCGACAGTGCATCCGATGGCTCTGCCTCCCACACCACCACCCCCTCCACTGCCCCCTCACCATCCAGCAGCGCGTGGCCGCTGGGGTGTTCTGCCGTGACCCTGTCAGCGTCGGGGGGCGGGGAGGAGGACACTCAGGGGTCGGTGGGCGAACTAATCCGGCGAGTGAGAGAGGGGCTCAGGAGCATGCAGGTGCTGGCCGAGGTGCGTGGTGGACTGACAAAGGGGAGCAGGTTAGGGGTACAACAGGGCTCTCAATCTCTTTGCGTTCAGTGCTTAACTTCTGGGCTTTAAGTTCCCCCAATGAACATCTGCTCCCTGCTTCCTGCTACCTGCTCCCTGTGTGTGTGTGTGTGTGTGTGTGTGTGTGTGTGTGTGTGTGCATGTGTGTGCATGTGGTGGCATGTGGTGGCATGTGGCAGGTGGAGCAGCTGGTGGGGCATCAGAGGAGCACGGCGAGGCACAGGGGATCAGGGGGCGGGCGCACGCAGCAGGACGGTGGTGGTGATGGAGGGGATGAGGAGGAGGGGGAGGAGGACGAGCAGAGTGAGGAGGAGGAGGAGGAGGATGATGAGGAGGAGGAAGAGAGTGAAGGAAGGAGTTTTTCAACGGATGGAGGGACGGCAGTGGGTGCAGATGGGAGGGATGCAGCGCAGGGAGCCACTGCAACTGCAGCTGCGGTGCTGGCCTCGGCATCGGCCTCAGGAGCGCAGCGCCGTGGGTCGCGCGACATGTACACGGGCATGATCCAGCGCGACCTGCTCCTCGTACCCCCTCCCTCACCCTGCGCCCTGCTCGCTCCGTGCATTCCCCTGCTGCCCTCCTAACAAGCATTCCCTTCATGTGCATGCAGGCTCACCTACTGCGCATGGTCACCAGCCACAACGGCCCTCTGCCCCACGCCCTGCCTGCCCTCGCCTCTCAGCTGCACGCTCTTGAGGTAACCACGTGTCTTGTGGTAACCACATGCCCTGTGGTAACCACATGCCCTGTGGTAACCACATGCCTTGTGGTAATTACATTCCTGTGGTAACCACATGGCTGGAGGTAAGCACATTGGGTAACCACAAGGCTTGTGGTAAGCACCTGTCATGAGGTAACATCATGCAATGAGGTACCCGCATGCAATGATCGCTGCAGGATTAGTTATTGCAATGAAAACAGTGAGAGATGATGCAGCTATCTAACGTGTGCATGCGTGTCTGTGTGTGTGTGCATGTGTGCGAGTGCGAGTGCAACATGGGCAGGTGATACCGCAGTGGGTGGCGGATCTGCTGCACCATGATCCGCGCCTCATCGACCGTGCCTTCCACCGCGTCTTCAGCAAGCCTGCCCGCCGCCTCACTGCGCACGCCCATGCAGACCCATCCGTGAGCTTTCCTGCCATGCCATGTGCGCCACCTGTCCCTGCTTTCTCTCACGCTCCCTCCACCCATCCTGCCCATGCATGTGTGCATGCACCGGTCCAGCCGTGCTGTGTGTGCGCTCTTGTATGGCTCCTGCCTTGCCTGTGGCAAGGGCATGGGATCTAACGGGGCATGCAAGGGGTGCGGCTGTGCTGTCACGCCACTCTCACACTCACAGGTGCAACGGGCGCTGCAGCGGTTCTGGTCGGCCAGTGCGGAGGGCGAGGGCAGCGCTGCAGATGCAGCAGCACAGGCGTCGGGGTCGCGCTACCTCTCAGACTTCGAGGAGGTCGCCATGCTGGGTGGGTGAGGCGATGCCATGCTGGGTGGGTGAGGCCATGCCATGCTGGGTGGGTGAGGCCATGCCATGCTGGGTGGGTGAGGCCATGCCATGCTGGGTGGGTGAGGCGATGCCATGCTGGGTGGGTGAGGCGATGCCATGCTGGGTGGGTGAGGCCATGCCATGCTGGGCGGGTGAGGCCATGCCATGCTGGGTGGGTGAGGCCATGCCATGCTGGGTGGGTGAGGCCATGCCATGCTGGGTGGGTGAGGCCATGCCATGCTGGGTGGGTGAGGCCATGCCATGCTGGGTGAGGCCAGTCCGTGCCTTTCTTGCTCTGTATGCCGTCTCCCCTGGTGACTCTCATCACTGCCTCTCATTAGTTCCCTGCCATGAACCCCTCCTGGTCGTGCTGCCCGTGTGGGTGGAGCAGGCAAGGGCGGGTTTGGGTCGGTGGTGCTGTGTGTGAACAAGCTGGACGGGCGCAAGTATGCCATCAAGAGGATTCCCCTCCGGGGCAAGAGCCCCGCCCTCAACTCCAAGATCCTCAGGTGCCCTGCCCCTCCCACCCTCCTACGCTTTCACCCTCTCACCCTCTTGCCCTCTCAACTGCTCACACTCTCAACCTCTCACCCTCTTACCCTCTCACCCTCTCACCCTCTGACCCCCCTTGCATGTGGGGCGGGGCCATGGCAGGGAGGTGGCGACGCTGTCACGGCTGCAGCACCAGCACGTGGTGCGCTACTACCAGGCCTGGTTCGAGACCGGGGCCGGCCGCTCCACTCGCCACCTGCCCGCGCACACCGACACAGACAGCATGGAGGGCAGCGCGAGCCCCACTGCGAGCACGTCGCTGGCGTCGGCATCGGAGTGGCTCACTCGCGATGCAGACCTCACCCACTCCCACAGCTTGCCGGGGGGGAGGGACGGCAGGAATGGGGGTGAGGCGGAAACGACGTACCTGTACATTCAGATGGAGTACTGCCCCAGGTGCGTTCAGATGGAGTACTGCCCCAGGTGCGTTCAGATGGAGTACTGCCCCAGGTGCGTTCAGATGGAGTACTGCCCTAGGTGCGTTCAGATGGAGTACTGCCCTAGGTGCGTTTTCTGACACTGCTTTCCCCTCTTCACACCTTCTGCTCTTTGCACGTCCGCCTTTTGCGGTTGTGATGGAAGAATGTGCACCTATCCGTTCGTGTTTCGACCATGCACATTACATGCGCGTTTTCACCCTGAGCCCTCTTCTTCTTTCGCCTGCCTGCCCTTGTCCCGCCCTCTCCGCGCCTGTGCCTGCCAGGACGCTGCGGCAGGTGTTGGAGGCGAGGGGGGGGGACGAGGTGGATGGCGCGTGGGCGTGGAGGGTGGTGCGGCAGGTGGTGGAGGGGCTGCTGCACGTGCACGGGCAGGGCATCATCCACCGCGACCTCACTCCCAACAACCTCTTTGTTGACCCGCGTGGGGACATCAAGATCGGCGACTTCGGCCTCGGTATCACAACACGCCTTGCATGCGCGCTCACCTGCATGCTGCATCTGCATGACTTGATGGTTTGCTTGTTTTTTCCCTTTTGTTTTGCTCTGCGTACCGTTAGTTTGCCTGTCTGATCTCGTCTGTTTCTTCTCCGTGATCCTGCTTGTGTATCTTTTACTCGTCTGTCCTAACTCCCCTCCCCCCCCCCCCTTTACCCCATGGGGCATGACACGGCAGCCAAGTTCTCGGAGCTGGGGGAGGGGGTCGATGCTGCAGACGCTGGAGAAGAGGCAGAAAGGGAATTGAGTCCCGAAGGGGGTGCAGAAAGGGGGGGGAGGGAAGGGGGCCCCATGGGGGAGAGGCGGCAGTCGGCGACGGGGCAGGTGGGGACGTACTTCTACACGGCACCCGAGGTGGAGCAGGGGTGGGCGCACGTGGACGACAAGGCAAGTGCACGCAGCATCCGCACCCCTGGCCTGGCACCCCACGCACCCTGTCATCTCGTACCTCTCTCCTGTGCCTGTCCATGCCCTCACCCGTGCCTGTGCATCCATATGCCGTGGCACGTAACTAACATCCCCGTGTGAGCTGGGTGGGGTGGGCAGGTGGACATGTGGAGTGTGGGCGTGGTGCTGCTGGAGTGTTGGCACCCCTTCCACACGGCCATGGAGCGCGCTCACACGCTCTCAGCCCTCAAGCTGCACCGCACCATTCCACATGAGTGGGCGCTCAAGCACCCCCAGGTGCGCCCTGCCACACGCATGGGTGCTCCACCACCCGCCTGTGTGCGTCTGTGTGTTTCTGTGTGTACCCAAGTGCCTGTATGTGCCTGTGTATGCCTGTGTGTGCCTGTTTGCACCTGTGTGTATGTGTGTGTGTGTGTGTGTGTGTGTGTGTGTGTGTATGTCACACTCTCCACAGGTGGCAGAGCTGGTGAGGCGGCTGCTGAGTCCGCTACCCAGTGACCGCCCGTCAGCAGCAGAGGTGTTGCGATGCGACCTCATGCCGCCGCGCATGGAGGATGAGGCGCTCAACGGTGGGTGCTTGCACACCACAAACGGTGGGGGTGGGGGGTCACTCTCACTGCCCGCGCTCCTTCTAAACTCCCATGCTGCAACCTTTCCTGCCTGCACACAACCTTCCCTGCATGGCTTCCCTGCTGGTGTATCCTGTGTTCACTCCCATGACCGTCGCCCTTCCCTCACTCGTGTGTGCCGCTGCGCCCCCCCCCCCTGCACTGCGCTGGGGGCGAGCAGGCATACTGAGGGCCATCCAGGCGCCGGGGGACGACTCCTCCTCCTCCTCTACTTCCTCGTCGGCGGTGTACGACCGCGTGCTCGCCGCCATCTTCGCCCGCCTCCCCGCCACGCCTCCCTCCTCCGCGCCCACCCCGCCACCTGTGCGCACGCTGCATGGGGGGGCCGGGGAGGAGGAGGAGTGGGAGCGGGGGGCGGTGCAGTGGACGGGGGCGAGGGAGGCGTTCATGGCGGGCGTGCAGTGCATCTTCCACCGCCATGGCGCCCTGCGCTCCGACACACGTGTCGTTGACTTTGCCTATCCCGACCGCCGCACCCATGAGTACGCCAACCCTAACCCCTCAATGTTGTGTGTGTGCTGACCTTCTCGCTATGCTCTCTCATTGTCTGCCCGTGCATTTTCTCTCATCTCTCTTCCGCCCCTCCTACCTCTCCGTGCGCCCCTGCCAGGCTGGCGGTGCGGGTGGTGGACGCACAGGGCTCGCTGCTCTCACTGCGCTACGACACTCGACTCACCTTCGCCCGCTGGGTCGCCGCCACACAGGTGATGCACGTGATGCCGCTTGAATGTCCCGATACTCTCATGCTCCTCTCTTTCTGTTGTCGACCCATTGCCCCTTTGCCATCCATTTGGCACGTGTGCTGTCCCCCCTGTCCTCCCCCTCCCAGACCTCGTCTCTGAAGCGCTTCCAGTTCTCCTCTGTGTTTCGCCGCGCTCCCGGTCGCCGCCCCCCTCATGATTATCTGCAGGTGTGTCGCCTGACCCGTTGAAACAAAGGGGTGATGGAACGGGGTGAAACTGGGTTGGTGGCAAGAGTCCAGGGCTTAAGGGCATGGGGTATAAGTAGCGAGTGTTGCTCGCCACGTGTGCGGCAATCATGGTCGGTGTGCAGCATTCTCAGGTGAGTGCTGAACAAGCGTGTATGCGAGCTAGCTCCTTGGGGCCTCACAGCAGTGCATGGCAGGGTAGGGTGCACCTTGAACTTTGCCCAGAAATGGCCTAACCAACTGCTCATCTCTTCCTCTCTTGCTGCCACCCCCTGTCCTCCACCATGCCCCTGGCCATTTCGATTTTGCTCCGTGCCATGCGATGTGGTGCGGGCATGTGCATTGCGGTGGAGGTGGGTGGCAGGCAGACTTTGACATTGTGGGAGGGACGCCGGTTCTGGCGGATGCTGAAGCCATCAAGGTGCGTTCTCAGGCAGCGCTTTGCTCGTCCATGTGCCTCACACACATGCGTCACTTCCAAACCCTTCCACACACAAGTGCCCACTTGCACACTAACAAGATTCATGTGCCCCAGTGCTGCAACAGAACAGTGCCAGCTTTCCCTTTTCCCCGCCTTGCCTCTCTACCTGCTGCCTCGCACCCTGCTGCCTCGCACCCTGCTGCCTCGTGCCGTGCTGCCTCGTGCCGTGCTGCATGCAGGTGGCGGTGGAGGTGGTGGAGGGGAGTGGGGCGGCATGGGGGGCGGTGGAGGTGCGGCTGAACCACCGCGACCTGCTGTGCGCCATCTGGCAGTGGGCGGGGGTCACACGCCCGCAGGTCGCCAGTGTCGCCCAGGTCACTCCCCTCCCCCCTGCCGCCTGCTCCTCTCCCCTTCAACCATGTCCACCACGCACACCACCCACCATCTTCAGCCATCTCCCATGCCTCGCAGCACCATGCCACCCTGCACTCCTCTCACCCTTCCACCCGCGCTCATGCCTCCCTGCTACGCCCCTTCTCTCCCCCTGCACCCCCCCCACCCCCCCCCCCCCCCGGCCCCCCTGTACACGAGCAGTTGCTGGCGCTGCTGGGCGGCTCTCCCCCCACAGCCCCCTCCCGCAAGGCCGCGTGGCCTCTTGTTCGCCGCCAGCTGCTGCAGGTGCGTGTGTGCTGCTGCATGCTGTGAGAAGGTGCGTGTCAGTCCGTCCTTCCATGATCCATCGTCCGTCTGCCTGTCTGTCCATCTGTGTGTCTTTTTGTGTTTGAGCGTTTGTGCGTGTGTGCCGTTGTGCCAACGTGCCAGTGTTTCTGTTCCTGTGCGCCGGCGTGTGTGGGTGAGTGGTGCGGTGCGGTGGCAGGGAGTGGGGCTGGGTGAGGCGGTGGTGGATCGCCTGCAGGCGGTGGAGAAGCGCTTCAGTGGGCCAGCAGACGATGCCATGGCGCGCCTCGCAGGGGCGCTGCCACCAGGTATGCGCTCACAGGGGCGCTGCCACCAGGTATGCGCTCACAGGGGCGCTGCCACCAGGTATGCGCTCACAGGGGCGCTGCCACCAGGTATGTGCTCACAGGGGCGCTGCCACCAGGTATGCGCTCACAGGGGCGCTGCCACCAGGTATGCGCTCATAGGGGCGCTGCCACCAGGTATGCGCTCACAGGGGCGCTGCCACCAGGTATGCGCTCACAGGGGCGCTGCCACCAGGTATGCGCTCACAGGGGCGCTTGTGAGAATTGAACCGATGAGTTGATTAGGAATGATGAGGGCTTACATAGTTGGAGCTAAGGAAAGGGGGGTGGTTGGTACCTAGCCAACATTATTGGCCCCCACCAATAAGTTGGGTTGGAGAATTATTGGGGGGTCCCAATAATGTTGGTCAAAGTGGGCCAACATTATTGGGGGGGCCAATAATCCTCCAACCCAACCTTGGGGTCCAATAATTGGGCCAAGGTTGGGTTCCAACCCCCACCTAGGGTTAACACTAGTTGTGCACCCAAACATTGTTTGGGTGCCTATCTCTATCCTAGGGTTTATAGGATCAATGCAGGATACAGAAGAGTAGTATAATCTAACACAACCCCTTAGCCTGCAGAGATCCTTAAACCTGGATGAGATAAGACAGCAACCCCTGAATCAGTCACCATGGGGGGCAAGGCCCAGGAGGGGCAAGATTGCCGAGTGAGTAGCGCGGTCGAGGGCCTTAGTGAAAATGTCGGCAGGGTTGGAGGATGAGTCGATCTTGCGCACGGTGATGTGGCCATCCTGGACAAGGTTGCGGACGAAGTAGTGTCGGAGCTCGATATGCTTGGAGCGACCATGGAAGACAGCTTCTTTGGTGAGGTGGATGGTGCTAGCGTTGTCACACCAGAGGGTGGGACATGGTTGTGGTGAGCCAAGGTCTGTGAGGAGATAGCTGAGCCAGCGTGCTTCCTGTGCCGCCATCGTGACCGCGTATAGTTCGGCTTCGCAGGAGGAGAGGGCGAGAGAGGAGGATAGGGGGAGGGAGGGGTTTGAGGTGCGAGGGTGGGTGTGGTGAGGGTGGGAGGCGTTGGGGTGGTGGTGGGTGTGGGGAGGAGGTGTTGGACTTGCTGGAGGACGTGAGGGGAGAGGTGTTGGGCGAGGACATTATGGAGGTTGGGGGGAGATGGTGCATAGGCGGGGAGGGTGCGAATGTCATGAGGGGTGGGGCGAGGGGTGATGGTGCTCCAGCGTGGAGGAGGGCCCGTGTTGCCGCGTGCAAGCCATTCGTCGGTGAGAGCTTTGAAGCACGTATCAGTGGGATGGGTGGTCTGGTTGCAGGTCTGACCTTTGTTAGGGCCTTGGCGAATGACATACTGGCACGGAGGGAGCCCACCCGTGGTTGAAGTGGTTGCCCCACGCCCGCCACGTTCCCCAGTGCGCCCTCCTCGTCCACCTCCGCGACCGCCTCCTCTTCCACCACCGCCCGAGCCACGTCCTGGTCCGCCCCCGCTGCTTCCGCCGGTGTTTGTTCCTTTGCGCGCATGAACGGCATTGATGGAGGCAGATTCACGCAGAAAGTCAGCCTCACTGTCAAGGAGCCAGTCGATGGTAACAGCCACAGGAGGAGGACGGATGTGCTGGGAGGTGAAATTGATGCGGTAAGTGTCGTAGGTGGGTGGGAGGCAGTCAAGGATGCGTGCTGTGAGGAGGGTGTCGGAGATCAAGATGCCACGATCATTGAGACGTTGTGCAGTGTCCGTGAGGCGCCGAGCGAAGGAAGCAGCGTTGAGGGAGGAGTCCAGTGTGATGTCTTGGAAGGTGCGAAAGAGGGAGAGGAGGGAACGTAAGTCCTGGCGATCATATTGGGAGGAGAGAGACTTCCAGAGGGAGGGGGAGGATGGGGGGCGAAGGTCACGCTTGAGAGAGGAGGGAACGCATGAGAAGATGATAGTAAGTGCACGGCGGTCAGCAATGCGCCATGCAGCTGTATCGGAGTGGTGCTTACGGAGCTTAGCAGAGTACTCTTCGGAGGCGGCTTTGAATTCTGCAAGTTTTGCAGTGGCAGCTTCGTGATCGGCGATGGCAGCTGCGTGTGCTCTGCTTTTGATGACATAGTCGTCCCGCTCCTTGTTGTATTTGTTGAGCGTGCGAGCCCACCTGTCCGGATCATCCTCCCAAGCCCCTAGGATAGGGGCTTGGGGGGCAGGTTCGGTCGGGAGTGGTGGGGCGTCGGGGGGGGGGAGGAGCCTGGGAGTGGGGGCGGAGTGGGGGGGAGGCCATTAGGTGTTTCGAGGACAACGACTAGGAGGCAGTAATCTCCCACTCGAACGGAGCCCAGGTACGTGAAGAGGCTCTCCTCAAACGACACCCAATTGACGGCGGTGGTGCCGTTGAGGAGCTCGAGCTTGTCGATGGAGGCAAGCTCAAGCGAGGTTGATTCGTCGGCCATGAGAGGAGGAGGAGGGAGGGAGGGGAGGTGGACGACACCGTCTTGAGGGACAGAGCGGTCCGGCTGCTCCACGGGCAGTAGCAGCAAACCCTAATTCAGGGTCCGTCGCGGCTGGTGGGCGTCTCCGCGGCGTCCGCGGCATCCGCAGCTGGTGGGCGTCTCCGCGGCGTCCGCGGCTGACGGCCGCGTTCGTCGCGTCCGCGGCTGACGGCCGCGTTCGTCGCGTCCGCGGCTGACGGCCGCGTTCGTCGCGTCCGCGGCTGACGGCCGCGTTCGTCGCGTCCGCGGCTGACGGGCGCGTTCGTCGCGTCCGCGGCTGACGGTCGCGTTCGTCGCGTCCGCGGCTGACGGTCGCGTTCGTCGCGTCCGCGGCTGACGGTCGCGTTCGTCGCGTCCGCGGCTGATGGGCGCGTTCGTCGCGTCCGCGGCTGACGGTCGCGTTCGTCGCGGCGGGCGGACGTGGTGAGGAGAGGGGCGCCGAGATGGCGCGAGGGGCACGGCAGAGTCGGCGGGAGGTGCGCTGAGCGGCGCGAGGGGCACGGCTGAGCCGGCGGGAGGTGCGCTAAGTGGCGCAAGGGGCACGGCAGAGCCTGCGGGAGGTGCGCTGAGCGGCGCGAGGGGCACGGCTGAGCCGGCGGGAGGTGCGCTAAGTGGCGCAAGGGGCACGGCAGAGCCGGCGGGAGGTAGAGTATGGTCCTAGGATCTTGAGTGGCGTTAGCCGTAAGAGCTCTGATACCATGTGAGAATTGAACCGATGAGTTGATTAGGAATGATGAGGGCTTACATAGTTGGAGCTAAGGAAAGGGGGGTTGTTGGTACCTAGCCAACATTATTGGCCCCCACCAATAAGTTGGGTTGGAGAATTATTGGGGGGTCCCAATAATGTTGGTCAAAGTGGGCCAACATTATTGGGGGGTCCAATAATCCTCCAACCCAACCTTGGGGTCCAATAATTGGGCCAAGGTTGGGTTCCAACCCCCACCTAGGGTTAACCCTAGTTGTGCACCCAAACATTGTTTGGGTGCCTATCTCTATCCTAGGGTTTATAGGATCAATGCAGGATACAGAAGAGTAGTATAATCTAACAGCGCTGCCACCAGGTATGCGCTCACAGGGGCGCTGCCACCAGGTATGCGCTCACAGGGGCGCTGCCACCAGGTATGCGCTCACAGGGGCGCTGCCACCAGGTATGCGCTCACAGGGGCGCTGCCACCAGGTATGCGCTCACAGGGGCGCTGCCACCAGGTATGCGCTCACAGGGGCGCTGCCACCAGGTATGCGCAAGGAACATTTACTTCAATGTTCTGCCCATCCCTCTTATTCCTCCCACTCATGTCTTTCCATTTTCCCTTCCATCTCCCCTCTCATCCTCCCCCCCGGGCCAGGCCCACTGGTGGCGGCGGCACTGGGCGAGCTGGGAGAGCTGCTGGCGCTGCTGCGAGTGTGGGGCATCCACCCCGCGTGCACCACCATCGACGCCCTCATGGCGCCCTCCCACCACTACTTCTCCAAATGCTTCTTCCAGGTCTCCCCCACCCCCTTCTTCTTTCCCTTAAGCGCCCTCTTTGATTTTGCTGCTCCTGTTTCCTTCCGTGCATGTGACATGCAGCCATGGAATGTCTCCAGTTCTTATTTCCAGCCTTGTTCACCCTGCCTCCTGCGTCGTTGTATCTCCTGCGTGCGCTGCACCTCAGGTCCACGCAAGGCACCTGCCGTCTCAACCTCCCCATCACCAGCACCAGCAGCAGCACCCCCTAAACCCTATCAGCACCCAGCGCACCACCCTGCCCTCTGATGCTTCCTTGCCTGGCGCTCGCTCGCTCTCCGCCTCGCCCCCATCCGCCCTGGCCGCCCCGTGGTCGTCCTCGCCGCCCCTCTGCGTGGCTGTGGGCGGCCGCTACGATGCCCTGCTGCTCCACCTCTTCTCCTCTGCTGCCGCTGGGAGAGGAGCGGTGGGTTGTTCAGACGGGGATGCATGTTAGGGGCAGGAAGTCGAAGCGCGTGGCATGGTCTGGCAGTATTGGGGACTTGTGACCTCCATGTTTGCAGGAATGGGCGTGTGGTGAGGTGTGGGGTGTCAGACATGGGTAGCTCCACTGCAACGTCCCCATATTCCCCTATTCTTCTTTCTTCATTCCCTGTTTGCATGTTGTTCCTTCTCCTTGTTCTCGCCTGTTAGTCTGCTGCTCCCTGCTGTAACCGTCAAGTGTTGTTGTGTGCCTCTTGGTTGGTCCCTTGCCTGCGTGTCTGTGTCTCTCGTGTATGCGCATGTCTGTGTCTGTGTCTCCTCCCTGTCATTGCGTCTGCGTGGCCTGGCCCTCTCCTTGATGCTTTGTGCCGTGTGCTGCATGCCTCCTCTGCTGCTTTGTGCCGTGTGCTGCATGCCTCCTCTGCTGCTTTTTGCCGTGTGCTGCATGCCTCCTCTGCTGCTTTGTGCCGTGTGCTGCATGCCTCCTCTGCGTGTGCTGCACGCCTCCTCTGCTGCGCAGAGCTCTCGGGCAAGAGGGGCAGGAGGCAGTGGGGGGGGCAGTGGGGGGGGGAGTGGGGCGGTGGGGTTCAGTGTGGCGCTGCACAAGCTCATGGCGCCGTCACACCCAACCACCCACCACACTTCCAGGTGCCCGCTCACACGCATCTCGCTCCACCACCTACTTCTTTCAACCCCTCTCACTTGCTTGGCACACCCTTTGCTTCATCACTTTCCTTCCCTCATCCTCTCCTGCACCACTCTCCCCTCACCCCTCCACCCGCACCCCCCTGTGCGTGTGTGTGGGGGAGCAGGCAGGCAGCGGTGGATGTGCTCGTGTGCGCCAGGGGAGGGGCGGGGCTGCTCAGCGAGCGGATGGAAGTTTCTGCGCGGCTGTGGGCGGCAGGAATCAAGGTAGCTATGGGCGGCTGGAGTAGTAGCTTTGAACGGCGGGGATAAAACAAGCTCTTGGTGGCAGGAAAACGTTCCTGGTGGGCAGTGGAAGATTTCATACACTACACTGTTTAGTGAGGGATGATATGCTGATAGTGACAACGTGGAATCCTGTCCCCACTGCCCAATGTGCGGTGCATGTGCGGCAGGCGGAGTATGTGAGTGTGCGGGCACCCAGCCTGACGGAGCAGTATGAGCACGCACACGAGCACGGCATCAAGTGGCTCGTGCTTCTCACCGATGCCGGCCTGCACACCCACTCTGCCAAGGTGCGTCTCGCTCTCACATGAGAGGTTGGTAAGGCAGTCACAAGGGTGTGCGGGTGGGGGAGGAAGAGGGTGAGGGTGAAGAGGTGAGAGGGGGGTGGAAAGCAAGAGTGCATCCTTTGTTTTGAGTGTGAGAGAGGGGAACATGAGTGGAGAGGAACAGAGGAAAGGGAAGACATAGGAGGGAAGGGAGGAGGGGTGAAAGATGGAGAGAGAGTCAATCTGTGCCTCTGGTCTCTCTGTGCACATCCGTGCTTGTATCAGGTACGGCATCTAGATTTGAAGACGGAGGAGGAAGTGAGCCTTGATGATTTGGTCAAGTTCTTCCTCGACGCCCTGCCGTCTCTACCCACTTCTCGCCGCCGCGGGGCCACAGCACCATCTGGTTCTGGCGCTGCTTGACTTCTGGCTCACCATAGTTTGAGCAAGTAGAGCATAACTACACCATTGCCATTTAAGACTCGTCTTTTGTATGTCAAAGGTGCTAAAAATAATAATAAGAATGCTTTCTTCTTGTATGATAATGTATTGCTTCCAAATTGTTTTGTACCCTCGCTAAATAACGCACATGTACACATGAAAGCGCGTGCAAGGACTGGTCCCCTAATGGCCTGGTCCGCTAACTTCCTGGTCCACGAACTTCCTAGTCCGGCGGAAGAAAAACGCACGGAACGAGTGCTTCCAGCCCCAAAACGCGGAAGGATCCTGCACATGTGCAGGAAGTGCAGCGGGCGCTCTTCATTCGCGAGCGCCGATGACCGACGATGCTCGCAACCCTCCCATGCCCTTTCTGGCTTGGCAATAGGCTCAGACAAGCACAACCACATGACCGGTGGAAGAAAAACGCTCGGAACGAGCGTTTCCAGCCCCAAAACGCGGAAGGATCCACACATGTGCAGGAAGTGCATTAGGCGCTCTTCATTCGCGAGCGAAGATGGAAGATGATGCTCGCAACCCTCCCACGACCTTGCTGGCTTGGTAATAGGCCCAGACAAGCGCAACCACGTGACCCGGCGGAAAACAAACGCTCGTAACGAGCGCTTCCAGCCCCAAAACGCGGACGGATCCTCACATTTGCAGGAAGTGCAGCGGACGCACTTCATTCGCGAGCGCCGATGACCGACGATGCTCGCAGCCCTCCCACTCCCTTGTTGGATTGGTAATAGGGACAGACAAGCGCAGCCACGTGACCCGGCGGAAGAAAAATCGCTCGGAACGAGCGCTTCCAGACCCAAAACGCGAAAGGAGCCTCACATGTGCAGGAAGCGCAGCGGGCGCTCATCATTCGCGAGCGCCGATGACCGATGATGCTTGCAACCCTCCCACGTCCTTGCTGGCTTGGTAATAGGACCAGACATGCTCAACCACGTGACCCGGCGGAAGAAAAACGCTCTGAACGAGCGCTTCCACCCCCAAAACGCGGAAGGAGCCGCACATGTGCAGGAAGTGCAGCGGGCGCTCTTCATTCGCGAGCGCCGATGACCGACGATGCTTGCAACCCTCCCATGCCCTTCCTGGCTTGGTAATATGACCAGACATGCGCAGCCACGTGACCCGGCAGAAGAAAAACGCTCGGAACGAGCGCTTCCACCCCCAAAACGCAGGAGCCTCACATGTGCAGGAAGTGCAGCGGGCGCTCATCATTCGCAAGCGCCGATGACCGATGATGCTTGCAACCCTCCCACGCCCTTGCTGGCTTGGTAATAGGACCAGATAAGCGCAGCCACGTAACCCGGTGGAAGAAAAACGCTCGGAACAAGCGCTTCCACCCCCGAAACGTGGAAGGACTCGTACATGTGCAAGAAGTGCAGCGAGCGCTCTTCATTCGCGAGCGCCGATGACCGATGATGCTTGCGACCCTCCCATTCCCTTGCTGGCTTGATAATAGGACCAGACAAGCGCAGCCACATGACCCGGCAGAAGAAAAACGCTCGGAACAAGCACTTCCACCCCCAAAACGTGGAAGGACTCGCACATGTGCAAGAAGTGCAGCGAGCGCTCTTCATTCTCGAGCGCCGATGACTGATGATGCTTGCAACCCTCCCGCGCCCTTGCTGATTTGACAATATGACCAGACATGCACAGCCACGTGACCCGGCGGAAGAAAAACGCTTGGAACGAGCGCTTCCACCCCCAAAACGCGGAAGGATCCAAACATGTGCAGGAAGTGCAGCGGGCGCTCTTTATTCGCGAGCGCCGATGACCGATGATGCTTGCAACCCTCCCACGCCCTTGCTGGCTTGGTAATAGGATCAGACAAGCGCACCCACCTGACCCAACGGAAGAAAAACGCTCGGAACGAGCGATACCACCCCCAAAACGCGGAAGGAGCCTCACATGTGCAGGAAGTGCAGCGGCGCTCTTCATTCGCGAGCGCCGATGATCGATGATGCTTGCAACCCTCCCACGCCCTTGCTGGCTTGGTAATAGGACCAGACAAGCGCAGCCACGTGACCCGGCGGAGAAAAAACGCTCTGAACAAGCGCTTCCACCCCCCAAAACGCGGAAGGATACGCACATGTGCAGGAAGTGCAGCGAGCGCTCTTCATTTGCGAGCGCCGATGACCGACGATGCTTGCAACCCTCCCATGCCCTTGCTGGCTTGGTAATATGACCAGACATGTGCAGCCACGTGACCCGGCAGAAGAAAAACGTTCGGAACGAGCGCTTCCACCCCCAAAACGCGGAAGGAGCCTCACATGTGCAGGAAGTGCAGCGGGCGCTCATCATTCTCGAGCGCTGATGACCGACGATGCTTGTGACCCTCCCACGCCCTTGCTGGCTTGGTAATAGGACCAGACTAGCGCAGCCACGTGACCCGGCGGAAGAAAAATAGCTCGGAACGAGCGCTTTCAGACCCAAAACGCGAAAGGAGCCTCATATGTGCAGGAGTGCAGTGGGCGCTCATCATTCGCGAGCGCCGATGACCGATGATGCTTGCAACCCTCCCACGTCCTTGCTGGCTTGGTAATAGGACCAGACATGCTCAACCACGTGACCTGGCGGAAGAAAAATGCTCGGAACGAGCGCTTCCACTCCCAAAACGCGGAAGGAGCCGCACATGTGCAGAAAGTGCAGCGTCTTGCAGCGTGTGCAAAATTGCAAGAATGAGGGCCTAGCGTGTGCAAAATAGCAAGAACAAGGGCCTAGCATGTGCAAAATTTCAAGAACAAGGGCCAAGCATGTGCAAAATTTCAAGAACAAGGGCCAAGCGTGTGCAAAATTGCAAGAACAAGGGCCTAGCGTGTGCAAACTTGCAAGAACAAGGGCCTAGCATGTGCAAAATTTCAAGAACAAGGGCCTAGCGTGTGCAAACTTGCAAGAACAAGGGCCTAGCGTGTGCAAAATTTCAAGTACAAGGGCCTAGCGTGTGCAAAATTGCAAGAACAAGGGCCTAGCGTGTGCAAAATTGCAAGAACAAGGGCCTAGTGAGTGCAAGATAGCAAGAACTTGTTCTTGCAAGTTTGCACTCACTAGGCCCTTGTTCTTGCAATTTTGCACACGCTAGGCCCTTGTTCTTGCAATTTTGCACACGCTAGGCCCTTGTACTTGAAATTTTGCACACGCTAGGCCCTTGTTCTTGCAATTTTGCACACGCTAGGCCCTTGTACTTGAAATTTTGCACACGCTAGGCCCTTGTTCTTGCAAGTTTGCACACGCTAGGCCCTTGTTCTTGAAATTTTGCACATGCTAGGCCCTTGTTCTTGCAAGTTTGCACACGCTAGGCCCTTGTTCTTGCAATTTTGCACACGCTTGGCCCTTGTTCTTGAAATTTTGCACATGCTTGGCCCTTGTTCTTGAAATTTTGCACATGCTAGGCCCTTGTTCTTGCTATTTTGCACACGCTAGGCCCTCATTCTTGCAATTTTGCACACGCTGCAAGACGCTGCACTTTCTGCACATGTGCGGCTCCTTCCGCGTTTTGGGAGTGGAAGCGCTCGTTCCGAGCATTTTTCTTCCGCCAGGTCACGTGGTTGAGCATGTCTGGTCCTATTACCAAGCCAGCAAGGACGTGGGAGGGTTGCAAGCATCATCGGTCATCGGCGCTCGCGAATGATGAGCGCCCACTGCACTCCTGCACATATGAGGCTCCTTTCGCGTTTTGGGTCTGAAAGCGCTCGTTCCGAGCTATTTTTCTTCCGCCGGGTCACGTGGCTGCGCTAGTCTGGTCCTATTACCAAGCCAGCAAGGGCGTGGGAGGGTCACAAGCATCGTCGGTCATCAGCGCTCGAGAATGATGAGCGCCCGCTGCACTTCCTGCACATGTGAGGCTCCTTCCGCGTTTTGGGGGTGGAAGCGCTCGTTCCGAACGTTTTTCTTCTGCCGGGTCACGTGGCTGCACATGTCTGGTCATATTACCAAGCCAGCAAGGGCATGGGAGGGTTGCAAGCATCGTCGGTCATCGGCGCTCGCAAATGAAGAGCGCTCGCTGCACTTCCTGCACATGTGCGTATCCTTCCGCGTTTTGGGGGGTGGAAGCGCTTGTTCAGAGCGTTTTTTCTCCGCCGGGTCACGTGGCTGCGCTTGTCTGGTCCTATTACCAAGCCAGCAAGGGCGTGGGAGGGTTGCAAGCATCATCGATCATCGGCGCTCGCGAATGAAGAGCGCCGCTGCACTTCCTGCACATGTGAGGCTCCTTCCGCGTTTTGGGGGTGGTATCGCTCGTTCCGAGCGTTTTTCTTCCGTTGGGTCAGGTGGGTGCGCTTGTCTGATCCTATTACCAAGCCAGCAAGGGCGTGGGAGGGTTGCAAGCATCATCGGTCATCGGCGCTCGCGAATAAAGAGCGCCCGCTGCACTTCCTGCACATGTTTGGATCCTTCCGCGTTTTGGGGGTGGAAGCGCTCGTTCCAAGCGTTTTTCTTCCGCCGGGTCACGTGGCTGTGCATGTCTGGTCATATTGTCAAATCAGCAAGGGCGCGGGAGGGTTGCAAGCATCATCAGTCATCGGCGCTCGAGAATGAAGAGCGCTCGCTGCACTTCTTGCACATGTGCGAGTCCTTCCACGTTTTGGGGGTGGAAGTGCTTGTTCCGAGCGTTTTTCTTCTGCCGGGTCATGTGGCTGCGCTTGTCTGGTCCTATTATCAAGCCAGCAAGGGAATGGGAGGGTCGCAAGCATCATCGGTCATCGGCGCTCGCGAATGAAGAGCGCTCGCTGCACTTCTTGCACATGTACGAGTCCTTCCACGTTTCGGGGGTGGAAGCGCTTGTTCCGAGCGTTTTTCTTCCACCGGGTTACGTGGCTGCGCTTATCTGGTCCTATTACCAAGCCAGCAAGGGCGTGGGAGGGTTGCAAGCATCATCGGTCATCGGCGCTTGCGAATGATGAGCGCCCGCTGCACTTCCTGCACATGTGAGGCTCCTGCGTTTTGGGGGTGGAAGCGCTCGTTCCGAGCGTTTTTCTTCTGCCGGGTCACGTGGCTGCGCATGTCTGGTCATATTACCAAGCCAGGAAGGGCATGGGAGGGTTGCAAGCATCGTCGGTCATCGGCGCTCGCGAATGAAGAGCGCCCGCTGCACTTCCTGCACATGTGCGGCTCCTTCCGCGTTTTGGGGGTGGAAGCGCTCGTTCAGAGCGTTTTTCTTCCGCCGGGTCACGTGGTTGAGCATGTCTGGTCCTATTACCAAGCCAGCAAGGACGTGGGAGGGTTGCAAGCATCATCGGTCATCGGCGCTCGCGAATGATGAGCGCCCGCTGCGCTTCCTGCACATGTGAGGCTCCTTTCGCGTTTTGGGTCTGGAAGCGCTCGTTCCGAGCGATTTTTCTTCCGCCGGGTCACGTGGCTGCGCTTGTCTGTCCCTATTACCAATCCAACAAGGGAGTGGGAGGGCTGCGAGCATCGTCGGTCATCGGCGCTCGCGAATGAAGTGCGTCCGCTGCACTTCCTGCAAATGTGAGGATCCGTCCGCGTTTTGGGGCTGGAAGCGCTCGTTACGAGCGTTTGTTTTCCGCCGGGTCACGTGGTTGCGCTTGTCTGGGCCTATTACCAAGCCAGCAAGGTCGTGGGAGGGTTGCGAGCATCATCTTCCATCTTCGCTCGCGAATGAAGAGCGCCTAATGCACTTCCTGCACATGTGTGGATCCTTCCGCGTTTTGGGGCTGGAAACGCTCGTTCCGAGCGTTTTTCTTCCACCGGTCATGTGGTTGTGCTTGTCTGAGCCTATTGCCAAGCCAGAAAGGGCATGGGAGGGTTGCGAGCATCGTCGGTCATCGGCGCTCGCGAATGAAGAGCGCCCGCTGCACTTCCTGCACATGTGCAGGATCCTTCCGCGTTTTGGGGCTGGAAGCACTCGTTCCGTGCGTTTTTCTTCCGCCGGACTAGGAAGTTCGTGGACCAGGAAGTTAGCGGACCAGGCCATTAGGGGACCAGTCCTTGCACGCGCTTTCATGTGTACATGTGCGTTATTTAGCGAGGGTACAAAACAATTTGGAAGCAATACATTATCATACAAGAAGAAAGCATTCTTATTATTATTTTTAGCACCTTTGACATACAAAAGACGAGTCTTAAATGGCAATGGTGTAGTTATGCTCTACTTGCTCAAACTATGGTGAGCCAGAAGTCAAGCAGCGCCAGAACCAGATGGTGCTGTGGCCCCGCGGCGGCGAGAAGTGGGTAGAGACGGCAGGGCGTCGAGGAAGAACTTGACCAAATCATCAAGGCTCACTTCCTCCTCCGTCTTCAAATCTAGATGCCGTACCTGATACAAGCACGGATGTGCACAGAGAGACCAGAGGCACAGATTGACTCTCTCTCCATCTTTCACCCCTCCTCCCTTCCCTCCTATGTCTTCCCTTTCCTCTGTTCCTCTCCACTCATGTTCCCCTCTCTCACACTCAAAACAAAGGATGCACTCTTGCTTTCCACCCCCCTCTCACCTCTTCACCCTCACCCTCTTCCTCCCCCACCCGCACACCCTTGTGACTGCCTTACCAACCTCTCATGTGAGAGCGAGACGCACCTTGGCAGAGTGGGTGTGCAGGCCGGCATCGGTGAGAAGCACGAGCCACTTGATGCCGTGCTCGTGTGCGTGCTCATACTGCTCCGTCAGGCTGGGTGCCCGCACACTCACATACTCCGCCTGCCGCACATGCACCGCACATTGGGCAGTGGGGACAGGATTCCACGTTGTCACTATCAGCATATCATCCCTCACTAAACAGTGTAGTGTATGAAATCTTCCACTGCCCACCAGGAACGTTTTCCTGCCACCAAGAGCTTGTTTTATCCCCGCCGTTCAAAGCTACTACTCCAGCCGCCCATAGCTACCTTGATTCCTGCCGCCCACAGCCGCGCAGAAACTTCCATCCGCTCGCTGAGCAGCCCCGCCCCTCCCCTGGCGCACACGAGCACATCCACCGCTGCCTGCCTGCTCCCCCACACACACGCACAGGGGGGTGCGGGTGGAGGGGTGAGGGGAGAGTGGTGCAGGAGAGGATGAGGGAAGGAAAGTGATGAAGCAAAGGGTGTGCCAAGCAAGTGAGAGGGGTTGAAAGAAGTAGGTGGTGGAGCGAGATGCGTGTGAGCGGGCACCTGGAAGTGTGGTGGGTGGTTGGGTGTGACGGCGCCATGAGCTTGTGCAGCGCCACACTGAACCCCACCGCCCCACTCCCCCCCCCACTGCCCCCCCCACTGCCTCCTGCCCCTCTTGCCCGAGAGCTCTGCGCAGCAGAGGAGGCGTGCAGCACACGCAGAGGAGGCATGCAGCACACGGCACAAAGCAGCAGAGGAGGCATGCAGCACACGGCAAAAAGCAGCAGAGGAGGCATGCAGCACACGGCACAAAGCAGCAGAGGAGGCATGCAGCACACGGCACAAAGCATCAAGGAGAGGGCCAGGCCACGCAGACGCAATGACAGGGAGGAGACACAGACACAGACATGCGCATACACGAGAGACACAGACACGCAGGCAAGGGACCAACCAAGAGGCACACAACAACACTTGACGGTTACAGCAGGGAGCAGCAGACTAACAGGCGAGAACAAGGAGAAGGAACAACATGCAAACAGGGAATGAAGAAAGAAGAATAGGGGAATATGGGGACGTTGCAGTGGAGCTACCCATGTCTGACACCCCACACCTCACCACACGCCCATTCCTGCAAACATGGAGGTCACAAGTCCCCAATACTGCCAGACCATGCCACGCGCTTCGACTTCCTGCCCCTAACATGCATCCCCGTCTGAACAACCCACCGCTCCTCTCCCAGCGGCAGCAGAGGAGAAGAGGTGGAGCAGCAGGGCATCGTAGCGGCCGCCCACAGCCACGCAGAGGGGCGGCGAGGACGACCACGGGGCGGCCAGGGCGGATGGGGGCGAGGCGGAGAGCGAGCGAGCGCCAGGCAAGGAAGCATCAGAGGGCAGGGTGGTGCGCTGGGTGCTGATAGGGTTTAGGGGGTGCTGCTGCTGGTGCTGGTGATGGGGAGGTTGAGACGGCAGGTGCCTTGCGTGGACCTGAGGTGCAGCGCACGCAGGAGATACAACGACGCAGGAGGCAGGGTGAACAAGGCTGGAAATAAGAACTGGAGACATTCCATGGCTGCATGTCACATGCACGGAAGGAAACAGGAGCAGCAAAATCAAAGAGGGCGCTTAAGGGAAAGAAGAAGGGGGTGGGGGAGACCTGGAAGAAGCATTTGGAGAAGTAGTGGTGGGAGGGCGCCATGAGGGCGTCGATGGTGGTGCACGCGGGGTGGATGCCCCACACTCGCAGCAGCGCCAGCAGCTCTCCCAGCTCGCCCAGTGCCGCCGCCACCAGTGGGCCTGGCCCGGGGGGGAGGATGAGAGGGGAGATGGAAGGGAAAATGGAAAGACATGAGTGGGAGGAATAAGAGGGATGGGCAGAACATTGAAGTAAATGTTCCTTGCGCATACCTGGTGGCAGCGCCCCTGTGAGCGCATACCTGGTGGCAGCGCCCCTGTGAGCGCATACCTGGTGGCAGCGCCCCTGTGAGCGCATACCTGGTGGCAGCGCCCCTGTGAGCGCATACCTGGTGGCAGCGCCCCTGTGAGCGCATACCTGGTGGCAGCGCCCCTGTGAGCGCATACCTGGTGGCAGCGCTGTTAGATTATACTACTCTTCTGTATCCTGCATTGATCCTATAAACCCTAGGATAGAGATAGGCACCCAAACAATGTTTGGGTGCACAACTAGGGTTAACCCTAGGTGGGGGTTGGAACCCAACCTTGGCCCAATTATTGGACCCCAAGGTTGGGTTGGAGGATTATTGGACCCCCCAATAATGTTGGCCCACTTTGACCAACATTATTGGGACCCCCCAATAATTCTCCAACCCAACTTATTGGTGGGGGCCAATAATGTTGGCTAGGTACCAACAACCCCCCTTTCCTTAGCTCCAACTATGTAAGCCCTCATCATTCCTAATCAACTCATCGGTTCAATTCTCACATGGTATCAGAGCTCTTACGGCTAACGCCACTCAAGATCCTAGGACCATACTCTACCTCCCGCCGGCTCTGCCGTGCCCCTTGCGCCACTTAGCGCACCTCCCGCCGGCTCAGCCGTGCCCCTCGCGCCGCTCAGCGCACCTCCCGCAGGCTCTGCCGTGCCCCTTGCGCCACTTAGCGCACCTCCCGCCGGCTCAGCCGTGCCCCTCGCGCCGCTCAGCGCACCTCCCGCCGACTCTGCCGTGCCCCTCGCGCCATCTCGGCGCCCCTCTCCTCACCACGTCCGCCCGCCGCGACGAACGCGACCGTCAGCCGCGGACGCGACGAACGCGCCCATCAGCCGCGGACGCGACGAACGCGACCGTCAGCCGCGGACGCGACGAACGCGACCGTCAGCCGCGGACGCGACGAACGCGACCGTCAGCCGCGGACGCGACGAACGCGCCCGTCAGCCGCGGACGCGACGAACGCGGCCGTCAGCCGCGGACGCGACGAACGCGGCCGTCAGCCGCGGACGCGACGAACGCGGCCGTCAGCCGCGGACGCGACGAACGCGGCCGTCAGCCGCGGACGCCGCGGAGACGCCCACCAGCTGCGGATGCCGCGGACGCCGCGGAGACGCCCACCAGCCGCGACGGACCCTGAATTAGGGTTTGCTGCTACTGCCCGTGGAGCAGCCGGACCGCTCTGTCCCTCAAGACGGTGTCGTCCACCTCCCCTCCCTCCCTCCTCCTCCTCTCATGGCCGACGAATCAACCTCGCTTGAGCTTGCCTCCATCGACAAGCTCGAGCTCCTCAACGGCACCACCGCCGTCAATTGGGTGTCGTTTGAGGAGAGCCTCTTCACGTACCTGGGCTCCGTTCGAGTGGGAGATTACTGCCTCCTAGTCGTTGTCCTCGAAACACCTAATGGCCTCCCCCCCACTCCGCCCCCACTCCCAGGCTCCTCCCCCCCCCCGACGCCCCACCACTCCCGACCGAACCTGCCCCCCAAGCCCCTATCCTAGGGGCTTGGGAGGATGATCCGGACAGGTGGGCTCGCACGCTCAACAAATACAACAAGGAGCGGGACGACTATGTCATCAAAAGCAGAGCACACGCAGCTGCCATCGCCGATCACGAAGCTGCCACTGCAAAACTTGCAGAATTCAAAGCCGCCTCCGAAGAGTACTCTGCTAAGCTCCGTAAGCACCACTCCGATACAGCTGCATGGCGCATTGCTGACCGCCGTGCACTTACTATCATCTTCTCATGCGTTCCCTCCTCTCTCAAGCGTGACCTTCGCCCCCCATCCTCCCCCTCCCTCTGGAAGTCTCTCTCCTCCCAATATGATCGCCAGGACTTACGTTCCCTCCTCTCCCTCTTTCGCACCTTCCAAGACATCACACTGGACTCCTCCCTCAACGCTGCTTCCTTCGCTCGGCGCCTCACGGACACTGCACAACGTCTCAATGATCGTGGCATCTTGATCTCCGACACCCTCCTCACAGCACGCATCCTTGACTGCCTCCCACCCACCTACGACACTTACCGCATCAATTTCACCTCCCAGCACATCCGTCCTCCTCCTGTGGCTGTTACCATCGACTGGCTCCTTGACAGTGAGGCTGACTTTCTGCGTGAATCTGCCTCCATCAATGCCGTTCATGCGCGCAAAGGAACAAACACCGGCGGAAGCAGCGGGGGCGGACCAGGACGTGGCTCGGGCGGTGGTGGAAGAGGAGGCGGTCGCGGAGGTGGACGAGGAGGGCGCACTGGGGAACGTGGCGGGCGTGGGGCAACCACTTCAACCACGGGTGGGCTCCCTCCGTGCCAGTATGTCATTCGCCAAGGCCCTAACAAAGGTCAGACCTGCAACCAGACCACCCATCCCACTGATACGTGCTTCAAAGCTCTCACCGACGAATGGCTTGCACGCGGCAACACGGGCCCTCCTCCACGCTGGAGCACCATCACCCCTCGCCCCACCCCTCATGACATTCGCACCCTCCCCGCCTATGCACCATCTCCCCCCAACCTCCATAATGTCCTCGCCCAACACCTCTCCCCTCACGTCCTCCAGCAAGTCCAACACCTCCTCCCCACACCCACCACCACCCCAACGCCTCCCACCCTCACCACACCCACCCTCGCACCTCAAACCCCTCCCTCCCCCTATCCTCCTCTCTCGCCCTCTCCTCCTGCGAAGCCGAACTATACGCGGTCACGATGGCGGCACAGGAAGCACGCTGGCTCAGCTATCTCCTCACAGACCTTGGCTCACCACAACCATGTCCCACCCTCTGGTGTGACAACGCTAGCACCATCCACCTCACCAAAGAAGCTGTCTTCCATGGTCGCTCCAAGCATATCGAGCTCCGACACTACTTCGTCCGCAACCTTGTCCAGGATGGCCACATCACCGTGCGCAAGATCGACTCATCCTCCAACCCTGCCGACATTTTCACTAAGGCCCTCGACCGCGCTACTCACTCGGCAATCTTGCCCCTCCTGGGCCTTGCCCCCCATGGTGACTGATTCAGGGGTTGCTGTCTTATCTCATCCAGGTTTAAGGATCTCTGCAGGCTAAGGGGTTGTGTTAGATTATACTACTCTTCTGTATCCTGCATTGATCCTATAAACCCTAGGATAGAGATAGGCACCCAAACAATGTTTGGGTGCACAACTAGTGTTAACCCTAGGTGGGGGTTGGAACCCAACCTTGGCCCAATTATTGGACCCCAAGGTTGGGTTGGAGGATTATTGGCCCCCCCAATAATGTTGGCCCACTTTGACCAACATTATTGGGACCCCCCAATAATTCTCCAACCCAACTTATTGGTGGGGGCCAATAATGTTGGCTAGGTACCAACCACCCCCCTTTCCTTAGCTCCAACTATGTAAGCCCTCATCATTCCTAATCAACTCATCGGTTCAATTCTCACAAGCGCCCCTGTGAGCGCATACCTGGTGGCAGCGCCCCTGTGAGCGCATACCTGGTGGCAGCGCCCCTGTGAGCGCATACCTGGTGGCAGCGCCCCTATGAGCGCATACCTGGTGGCAGCGCCCCTGTGAGCGCATACCTGGTGGCAGCGCCCCTGTGAGCACATACCTGGTGGCAGCGCCCCTGTGAGCGCATACCTGGTGGCAGCGCCCCTGTGAGCGCATACCTGGTGGCAGCGCCCCTGTGAGCGCATACCTGGTGGCAGCGCCCCTGCGAGGCGCGCCATGGCATCGTCTGCTGGCCCACTGAAGCGCTTCTCCACCGCCTGCAGGCGATCCACCACCGCCTCACCCAGCCCCACTCCCTGCCACCGCACCGCACCACTCACCCACACACGCCGGCGCACAGGAACAGAAACACTGGCACGTTGGCACAACGGCACACACGCACAAACGCTCAAACACAAAAAGACACACAGATGGACAGACAGGCAGACGGACGATGGATCATGGAAGGACGGACTGACACGCACCTTCTCACAGCATGCAGCAGCACACACGCACCTGCAGCAGCTGGCGGCGAACAAGAGGCCACGCGGCCTTGCGGGAGGGGGCTGTGGGGGGAGAGCCGCCCAGCAGCGCCAGCAACTGCTCGTGTACAGGGGGGCCGGGGGGGGGGGGGGGTGGGGGGGGTGCAGGGGGAGAGAAGGGGCGTAGCAGGGAGGCATGAGCGCGGGTGGAAGGGTGAGAGGAGTGCAGGGTGGCATGGTGCTGCGAGGCATGGGAGATGGCTGAAGATGGTGGGTGGTGTGCGTGGTGGACATGGTTGAAGGGGAGAGGAGCAGGCGGCAGGGGGGAGGGGAGTGACCTGGGCGACACTGGCGACCTGCGGGCGTGTGACCCCCGCCCACTGCCAGATGGCGCACAGCAGGTCGCGGTGGTTCAGCCGCACCTCCACCGCCCCCCATGCCGCCCCACTCCCCTCCACCACCTCCACCGCCACCTGCATGCAGCACGGCACGAGGCAGCACGGCACGAGGCAGCAGGGTGCGAGGCAGCAGGGTGCGAGGCAGCAGGTAGAGAGGCAAGGCGGGGAAAAGGGAAAGCTGGCACTGTTCTGTTGCAGCACTGGGGCACATGAATCTTGTTAGTGTGCAAGTGGGCACTTGTGTGTGGAAGGGTTTGGAAGTGACGCATGTGTGTGAGGCACATGGACGAGCAAAGCGCTGCCTGAGAACGCACCTTGATGGCTTCAGCATCCGCCAGAACCGGCGTCCCTCCCACAATGTCAAAGTCTGCCTGCCACCCACCTCCACCGCAATGCACATGCCCGCACCACATCGCATGGCACGGAGCAAAATCGAAATGGCCAGGGGCATGGTGGAGGACAGGGGGTGGCAGCAAGAGAGGAAGAGATGAGCAGTTGGTTAGGCCATTTCTGGGCAAAGTTCAAGGTGCACCCTACCCTGCCATGCACTGCTGTGAGGCCCCAAGGAGCTAGCTCGCATACACGCTTGTTCAGCACTCACCTGAGAATGCTGCACACCGACCATGATTGCCGCACACGTGGCGAGCAACACTCGCTACTTATACCCCATGCCCTTAAGCCCTGGACTCTTGCCACCAACCCAGTTTCACCCCGTTCCATCACCCCTTTGTTTCAACGGGTCAGGCGACACACCTGCAGATAATCATGAGGGGGGCGGCGACCGGGAGCGCGGCGAAACACAGAGGAGAACTGGAAGCGCTTCAGAGACGAGGTCTGGGAGGGGGAGGACAGGGGGGACAGCACACGTGCCAAATGGATGGCAAAGGGGCAATGGGTCGACAACAGAAAGAGAGGAGCATGAGAGTATCGGGACATTCAAGCGGCATCACGTGCATCACCTGTGTGGCGGCGACCCAGCGGGCGAAGGTGAGTCGAGTGTCGTAGCGCAGTGAGAGCAGCGAGCCCTGTGCGTCCACCACCCGCACCGCCAGCCTGGCAGGGGCGCACGGAGAGGTAGGAGGGGCGGAAGAGAGATGAGAGAAAATGCACGGGCAGACAATGAGAGAGCATAGCGAGAAGGTCAGCACACACACAACATTGAGGGGTTAGGGTTGGCGTACTCATGGGTGCGGCGGTCGGGATAGGCAAAGTCAACGACACGTGTGTCGGAGCGCAGGGCGCCATGGCGGTGGAAGATGCACTGCACGCCCGCCATGAACGCCTCCCTCGCCCCCGTCCACTGCACCGCCCCCCGCTCCCACTCCTCCTCCTCCCCGGCCCCCCCATGCAGCGTGCGCACAGGTGGCGGGGTGGGCGCGGAGGAGGGAGGCGTGGCGGGGAGGCGGGCGAAGATGGCGGCGAGCACGCGGTCGTACACCGCCGACGAGGAAGTAGAGGAGGAGGAGGAGTCGTCCCCCGGCGCCTGGATGGCCCTCAGTATGCCTGCTCGCCCCCAGCGCAGTGCAGGGGGGGGGGGCGCAGCGGCACACACGAGTGAGGGAAGGGCGACGGTCATGGGAGTGAACACAGGATACACCAGCAGGGAAGCCATGCAGGGAAGGTTGTGTGCAGGCAGGAAAGGTTGCAGCATGGGAGTTTAGAAGGAGCGCGGGCAGTGAGAGTGACCCCCCACCCCCACCGTTTGTGGTGTGCAAGCACCCACCGTTGAGCGCCTCATCCTCCATGCGCGGCGGCATGAGGTCGCATCGCAACACCTCTGCTGCTGACGGGCGGTCACTGGGTAGCGGACTCAGCAGCCGCCTCACCAGCTCTGCCACCTGTGGAGAGTGTGACATACACACACACACACACACACACACACACACACATACACACAGGTGCAAACAGGCACACACAGGCATACACAGGCACATACAGGCACTTGGGTACACACAGAAACACACAGACGCACACAGGCGGGTGGTGGAGCACCCATGCGTGTGGCAGGGCGCACCTGGGGGTGCTTGAGCGCCCACTCATGTGGAATGGTGCGGTGCAGCTTGAGGGCTGAGAGCGTGTGAGCGCGCTCCATGGCCGTGTGGAAGGGGTGCCAACACTCCAGCAGCACCACGCCCACACTCCACATGTCCACCTGCCCACCCCACCCAGCTCACACGGGGATGTTAGTTACGTGCCACGGCATATGGATGCACAGGCACGGGTGAGGGCATGGACAGGCACAGGAGAGAGGTACGAGATGACAGGGTGCGTGGGGTGCCAGGCCAGGGGTGCGGATGCTGCGTGCACTTGCCTTGTCGTCCACGTGCGCCCACCCCTGCTCCACCTCGGGTGCCGTGTAGAAGTACGTCCCCACCTGCCCCGTCGCCGACTGCCGCCTCTCCCCCATGGGGCCCCCTTCCCTCCCCCCCCTTTCTGCACCCCCTTCGGGACTCAATTCCCTTTCTGCCTCTTCTCCAGCGTCTGCAGCATCGACCCCCTCCCCCAGCTCCGAGAACTTGGCTGCCGTGTCATGCCCCATGGGGTAAAGGGGGGGGGGGGAGGGGAGTTAGGACAGACGAGTAAAAGATACACAAGCAGGATCACGGAGAAGAAACAGACGAGATCAGACAGGCAAACTAACGGTACGCAGAGCAAAACAAAAGGGAAAAAACAAGCAAACCATCAAGTCATGCAGATGCAGCATGCAGGTGAGCGCGCATGCAAGGCGTGTTGTGATACCGAGGCCGAAGTCGCCGATCTTGATGTCCCCACGCGGGTCAACAAAGAGGTTGTTGGGAGTGAGGTCGCGGTGGATGATGCCCTGCCCGTGCACGTGCAGCAGCCCCTCCACCACCTGCCGCACCACCCTCCACGCCCACGCGCCATCCACCTCGTCCCCCCCCCTCGCCTCCAACACCTGCCGCAGCGTCCTGGCAGGCACAGGCGCGGAGAGGGCGGGACAAGGGCAGGCAGGCGAAAGAAGAAGAGGGCTCAGGGTGAAAACGCGCATGTAATGTGCATGGTCGAAACACGAACGGATAGGTGCACATTCTTCCATCACAACCGCAAAAGGCGGACGTGCAAAGAGCAGAAGGTGTGAAGAGGGGAAAGCAGTGTCAGAAAACGCACCTAGGGCAGTACTCCATCTGAACGCACCTAGGGCAGTACTCCATCTGAACGCACCTGGGGCAGTACTCCATCTGAACGCACCTGGGGCAGTACTCCATCTGAACGCACCTGGGGCAGTACTCCATCTGAATGTACAGGTACGTCGTTTCCGCCTCACCCCCATTCCTGCCGTCCCTCCCCCCCGGCAAGCTGTGGGAGTGGGTGAGGTCTGCATCGCGAGTGAGCCACTCCGATGCCGACGCCAGCGACGTGCTCGCAGTGGGGCTCGCGCTGCCCTCCATGCTGTCTGTGTCGGTGTGCGCGGGCAGGTGGCGAGTGGAGCGGCCGGCCCCGGTCTCGAACCAGGCCTGGTAGTAGCGCACCACGTGCTGGTGCTGCAGCCGTGACAGCGTCGCCACCTCCCTGCCATGGCCCCGCCCCACATGCAAGGGGGGTCAGAGGGTGAGAGGGTGAGAGGGTAAGAGGGTGAGAGGTTGAGAGTGTGAGCAGTTGAGAGGGCAAGAGGGTGAGAGGGTGAAAGCGTAGGAGGGTGGGAGGGGCAGGGCACCTGAGGATCTTGGAGTTGAGGGCGGGGCTCTTGCCCCGGAGGGGAATCCTCTTGATGGCATACTTGCGCCCGTCCAGCTTGTTCACACACAGCACCACCGACCCAAACCCGCCCTTGCCTGCTCCACCCACACGGGCAGCACGACCAGGAGGGGTTCATGGCAGGGAACTAATGAGAGGCAGTGATGAGAGTCACCAGGGGAGACGGCATACAGAGCAAGAAAGGCACGGACTGGCCTCACCCAGCATGGCATGGCCTCACCCACCCAGCATGGCATGGCCTCACCCACCCAGCATGGCATGGCCTCACCCACCCAGCATGGCATGGCCTCACCCACCCAGCATGGCATGGCCTCACCCGCCCAGCATGGCATGGCCTCACCCACCCAGCATGGCATCGCCTCACCCACCCAGCATGGCATCGCCTCACCCACCCAGCATGGCATGGCCTCACCCACCCAGCATGGCATGGCCTCACCCACCCAGCATGGCATGGCCTCACCCACCCAGCATGGCATCGCCTCACCCACCCAGCATGGCGACCTCCTCGAAGTCTGAGAGGTAGCGCGACCCCGACGCCTGTGCTGCTGCATCTGCAGCGCTGCCCTCGCCCTCCGCACTGGCCGACCAGAACCGCTGCAGCGCCCGTTGCACCTGTGAGTGTGAGAGTGGCGTGACAGCACAGCCGCACCCCTTGCATGCCCCGTTAGATCCCATGCCCTTGCCACAGGCAAGGCAGGAGCCATACAAGAGCGCACACACAGCACGGCTGGACCGGTGCATGCACACATGCATGGGCAGGATGGGTGGAGGGAGCGTGAGAGAAAGCAGGGACAGGTGGCGCACATGGCATGGCAGGAAAGCTCACGGATGGGTCTGCATGGGCGTGCGCAGTGAGGCGGCGGGCAGGCTTGCTGAAGACGCGGTGGAAGGCACGGTCGATGAGGCGCGGATCATGGTGCAGCAGATCCGCCACCCACTGCGGTATCACCTGCCCATGTTGCACTCGCACTCGCACACATGCACACACACACAGACACGCATGCACACGTTAGATAGCTGCATCATCTCTCACTGTTTTCATTGCAATAACTAATCCTGCAGCGATCATTGCATGCGGGTACCTCATTGCATGATGTTACCTCATGACAGGTGCTTACCACAAGCCTTGTGGTTACCCAATGTGCTTACCTCCAGCCATGTGGTTACCACAGGAATGTAATTACCACAAGGCATGTGGTTACCACAGGGCATGTGGTTACCACAGGGCATGTGGTTACCACAAGACACGTGGTTACCTCAAGAGCGTGCAGCTGAGAGGCGAGGGCAGGCAGGGCGTGGGGCAGAGGGCCGTTGTGGCTGGTGACCATGCGCAGTAGGTGAGCCTGCATGCACATGAAGGGAATGCTTGTTAGGAGGGCAGCAGGGGAATGCACGGAGCGAGCAGGGCGCAGGGTGAGGGAGGGGGTACGAGGAGCAGGTCGCGCTGGATCATGCCCGTGTACATGTCGCGCGACCCACGGCGCTGCGCTCCTGAGGCCGATGCCGAGGCCAGCACCGCAGCTGCAGTTGCAGTGGCTCCCTGCGCTGCATCCCTCCCATCTGCACCCACTGCCGTCCCTCCATCCGTTGAAAAACTCCTTCCTTCACTCTCTTCCTCCTCCTCATCATCCTCCTCCTCCTCCTCCTCACTCTGCTCGTCCTCCTCCCCCTCCTCCTCATCCCCTCCATCACCACCACCGTCCTGCTGCGTGCGCCCGCCCCCTGATCCCCTGTGCCTCGCCGTGCTCCTCTGATGCCCCACCAGCTGCTCCACCTGCCACATGCCACCACATGCCACCACATGCACACACATGCACACACACACACACACACACACACACACACACACACACACAGGGAGCAGGTAGCAGGAAGCAGGGAGCAGATGTTCATTGGGGGAACTTAAAGCCCAGAAGTTAAGCACTGAACGCAAAGAGATTGAGAGCCCTGTTGTACCCCTAACCTGCTCCCCTTTGTCAGTCCACCACGCACCTCGGCCAGCACCTGCATGCTCCTGAGCCCCTCTCTCACTCGCCGGATTAGTTCGCCCACCGACCCCTGAGTGTCCTCCTCCCCGCCCCCCGACGCTGACAGGGTCACGGCAGAACACCCCAGCGGCCACGCGCTGCTGGATGGTGAGGGGGCAGTGGAGGGGGTGGTGGTGTGGGAGGCAGAGCCATCGGATGCACTGTCGCCCCCATGCTGCCACAGCCCCCTGCCCCTCTGCCTCCCTCTGCCGCCGCTGCCTTGGCTCTCCTCCTCTCCACTCTCCTGCTCCTCCTCCTCGTCGTCATCCCCCTCCTCTCCCTCGTGTGACGACTCGCTTGCTTCTTCACTCTGCTGCCTTTGCATCTTCACCGCACCACCCACGCCACCCGGCCTCCCCACACCACCGCCACCACCAGCCAAAGCGGTACCTCCACTCCTTCCCTCCCTAGCTTCTGTGCCTCGCCCCTCTCCCCCTGGCCTGCCACCGAGGCCCCCTCTTCCTCCTGCACTCGCTCCTCTTCCTTTCCCTCGCCCTCCACCCCCCACCTCGCCCCTCCCAGCTCCGCCCTCCTGACTGCCCCCCGCGCCTCTGCCCCTGCCTGCGCCCCTGCCTCTGCCCCTGCCCCTGCCTGCGCCTGCAGTGCCTGGGCCAGGGGGCCAGGCAGCGGGGGCGAGGGGGAGGGCAGAGAGGGGGTCGGAGAAGAGCCCCGCGTCCACACTGTCCTCCCACGCCCACCCCTCCTCCTCCCACCCCTCCTCCCCGCCCGCCGCCTCGCCTTCTGCCTCCTCCCCATCGCTGCCCGCCTGCAAGCACTCCAAGATGGAGTGTTAAGACGCCAGCGCACGCAACGCGAGAGCTGTGACGGCGATGGGGAATGAAGTTAGAAATGCAGAGACACATGCAGCACACAGGTGAAGGGCGATGAACAAAGCGCACCTGGGTGGGAGCAAGAGGGTGGTGTGTGGCGGGTGACAGTGACGAGAGGCGGCGAGAGAGGAACTCTTGTGCCGTCTCGGCAAGGTTGAATACCGTCACTCGCCCCTCCCGTGCTGCCCGTGCTGCCTGCATTGCCACACGCCGTGTGCAGCACGCATGGTCAGGTGAACGCTCAAGGCAAAGCCGCAACGCATAGGCACACAACAATGGACCCAGCCACGTTGGAAAGGCGGACTTGGTTGGAAGCAAGGAGGGAGATAGACAAGGGACGGGGAGTGGCAGTGCGGAGAGCAGAGAGGCGCCTGTTGGTCCCTCACCCCCCTGTGCCCTGGCCTGACCCCACCTGGTCGTGCAGCAGCGCCACCAGCTCCACCACGTCCTCCTGCTCCAGCCCCTCCCGCGCCTCCACTCGCAGCTTCAACGCCCGCCTCGGATATCCTGCCACATACCTGCACGAGGGGCGCGGGCAGGGGAAGGGGAGGCAATGAGGGAGTGGACGCGGCCACCTCTCCCGCTGCACCCCTCCACGACCACCCCACACCTCACTGCCTCACCGCAATACTGCCACACCACGACCTTCCCTGGGAGCGGGCTTGCCTGGGAGCGGGCTTGCCTGGGAGCGGGCTTGCCTGGGAGCGGGCTTGCCTGGGAGCGGGCTTGCCTGGGGGCGGGCTTGCCTGGGGAGGGGCTTGCCTGACGACGAGGTGGAGGGAGACGGCGTCGAGGTTGGCGTGGGCGGCGAAGGAGTAGTGCGGGCGCAGCAGCAGCGCATACTCCACCAGCGGCCGCTCCGCGCGCAGCTCAAAGTCGTCCGCGAAGATGGCGGAGCTGCCCAGGGCAGGGGGAAAGGCGGAGGGGCGACAGGTCAAAAGAGCAACAAATGCTATTGGAGTGCAGCCATGTGGGTGGATAGGCCTCCAGACATGAAAAATGACGCCAACACACGGCCTGTGGTTTCAGCCATACGTCCGTTGACAGGGGTGCGGCGGGGCGTACATGGCGGTGAGCTCGTCGAGCTGCTGCGCGCGCAGCTCCTCGTCCTCCTCCTCCTCGTCCCGCCGATGCCGCCCGGCCCCCGCGCGGCCGCCTCCGCCTCGATGGCCGCGCGCCTTCTTTTTGCCCGCCATGCGCGCACACACGCACGCCGCGCGTCACACACGTGTGTGGACCCACAACATCACTCCCCTTGAAGGAATCTTACGTACCCAGTGCGACCTACGCAATTAGCACTCGCACACGTTTAGGCGTGCTTCTGCGTTCGGTGACAATGATGTTACCTGCAATAACGAATCCGTACAAGCTAATAGTTTTACTGAAGAAGCGCACTGACATTATTTCCAGAAAGACATTCAGAAATTCTTGCCTGATATCATTCGTGGTGCCACTACCGTGAATTCCACGCCAGCTGTGCCCCTTCCAACTTCTGGAAGGAGATTCCGTGGTACTGTGCGGTGCAACTCCCAGAAATTGGACGATTTCGCCTGCATCGGTTTCGCAAAATTCGCCCAGTGCGTGTAAATCTTTGCTGGCGAAACGACTTTCGGAATTCCAGAAACGGCAGGATGGTGGTATTGGCGGGAAAGGAAACTCGGCAGAATCAATGAACCACCTCTTGTTGCTGCTCATTCCACTCCTCTCTCTCATCAACTGCTTGCCCTTCGATCCGCAACCCCACGCGTCAATTCCGCACATAAAATCTTTGTGATTCCTCAGTCGTCAGTGATTAATCCGTTTTTCCCGGTCAGCGGCAGCAGGCTTCTTGATGGCATCGGAGGGGGGGCAGTCGCCGGAGGTGGAGGGCGAGGCGATGGTCACGGTCGTCATCAAGAACCCCTCCGCGTCGTCGCCAGGCGACTTCAGGACGCGAGTGCGAGCGGCGGGCACGGTGGGCGACGTGAAGCGACAGCTGCAGGAAGAGTACGCGGGACACCCCGACCCGTCGCGACAGAAGCTGATCGTCGCCGGCCAGCTCGTGAAAGACTCGCTCCTCGTCCGCGACGTATTTAAACAGGTCCGCTCGCACGCTTTGTTCCGACCGTCTCAGTCGTTTAACGCGTGGTCGGCGCTCTCTCATCGTTATTGCCGCATGTCGCGGAGCTATACGTCTAGAGTCGTCGATCAGAGTCATGGTGGGAGGAAGACTCTGGTTGCTGCCGGAAATTCTTGTTATTCGGGAGTGCGAGCCTAAAGATTCAGTCAGTATGATTTTCTTGTTCCGTCACGTGCAAGTGCGTCAGGGGAAAGGATGTGCTTGAGTGTGACTCGTTTCACGTGCCACCAATCTCTGCGCTTCCCTCTCCCCCCCTGCGCTCCTCCGCGCGCAGAAGAACCTGAGCGAGCCCCAGGTGATGCACCTCGTCGTCTCTTCCGCTCCCCCCGGCACCTCCTCCGCGCCGTCCTCCGCGCCCTCTTCCGCGCCCTCCACGACTCACTCCAGCCGCTCCGTCTCCCCCACGCCCTCCTCCTCCGCGCGCGCCCACTCGCGCGCCACCCTCCCTGCCTCCAACCTCGCGCTTGCTCCTTTCCCTGCCGCGCCTGCGCCAATCCCTGCGCCCGCCGCCGCCGCCTCACTGCAGCGCGCAGGCGCTGTCCCGGGGTCCGGGCAGGCGCACGCAGTGGAGGCGGACGGGCCGGCTGTAGCGCCGGCCGCTGCAGCTGCGGCGCCCGCTGTGGCTGCTGCAGCCGCGGGTCCTGGCGCAGCGGATGGGGGGCTTACAGCGAGCGGGGGAGAGGCAGGAGGGCGAGCACCCACAGCAGCACCCACAGCAGCAACAACAGCTCCAGCTGTTACGCAGGCCGCTGCCGCTGCTGGGGGGGGAGAGCAGCAGCAAGCCATCCTTCAGGTGAGTATTCAGTCGCTTCTGCTGCCACGTTCGCCCTCCTCTTCCCGCTCTCTACCCTCGCCGCTCATCTCTACCCTTTCCTCTCCTCTCTACCCTCCCCTCTCCACTCAACCCTCGCTCCTCCTCTCTCCTGTCTGCTCTGTTCACACGCCTCCCTACCCTCTCCCCGTCCTCCCCTCTCTCCCCCTCTCCATCCTGGGCCCCTCGCAGCTGCTCGGTGCGCTGCAACACACTGCGCCCACTGGCCTGCCGCCTCTGCCCTTCTCGCCTCTCATGGCGCCGCCCCTGCCGGCCCTTCCGCCGCCATACTCGCCTTTCACGCTGCCGCCCTTCATGCTGCCTGCTGACTCTTCCATGCCTGCATCAGCCCTCTACCCACCTTTACTGCACTCCCCTCTGCTCCCCCTCTCCATGCCGCCCATGCCCTTCCCCTTCGCTTTCCCTTTTCCCTGGCCCTCCCCTCCGCCCATGCCCATGCCGGGTGATCCCCTCGCACCCATCGCCTTTGCCCCTCCCATGCCTCCCTTCGCCTTCCCACCCACCATGCCTCCTCCGCACCCATTCGCCAGCAACGGCAACAGGTGAGCTGTTTTTTAGAGTGCATTAGGCGTCTTAGCAGTGTGAGAGGCATCATAGCAGTGCGAGAGGCATCTTAGCAGTGCGAGAGGCTCCTTTATCTCTTCATGCTTACAGTTGGACTGATTTAGTTTTTTCCTTTTAGCCTTGAGCCCACTGCAACTGTTCCTTCACATTCTTATCCTTGTTCTCCACTTGATCCCCTCGCCCCACCATGTGCCCCTGCATCTGTGCCTCTGCCGTGTGCTGCCAGCCCTGCCCCCCCTGTTGGCGCGCCTGTGCACACCCACCCGCACCACCCACCCACTGTGGGCCTCGCACCACCACCGCCCGCACCAGCGGCAGCACCTTTGCCTCAGGCAGGGGCAGCACAGCCCCATCCCGCCGCCCCTGCTGCAGCGCCAGGTGCCGTGGGGGAGGAGGCGGCAGCAGCGGCGGCCGTGCAGCAGCATGTGCGGCAGGCGGGCGCAGTGGGAGGGGTGGAGGAGGAGTGGCAGCAGCAGCTGCAGCAGCGGCTGCAGGCGGTGATGCAGGCAGTGCGGCAGCAGCAGATGGCAGAGCACCACGCTGCCATGGCCGCTGCTGCTGCTGCCGCCGCTGCTGCACAGAGGGGGGGCGCAGGTGGGCTTGCAGGAGTGCCAGGAGGAGGCAGGGCGGCAGGAGATGCAGCAGGGCATGTGGGGGTGGGGGGGGCGGCAGCAGTGGAGGGCGCGCCTAGAGTGCGGCGCATTCAGTTTGCGATCCGCATCGACCTCATGCTGCTGCTCAAGCTCACGCTGCTCGTCTATGTGTTCGGCCAGGGCGGGGGCTACCGCCGCTTCTTTGCCCTCATCGCTGCTGCTCTCTTCATCTACCTGTGAGCCGCCCAGCTTTTCGTTAACTCACACCAGCATGTGGCAGCTGTGTCAGCTCTTCACCTCTTTCCCGTCCTCCTCACACCCTCTTCTCTGCGCTCTGCGCCCTCTCCCCCATGGGCAGGTACCAAGCGGGCGTGCTGGCGCCGCTGCTGCGATGGCTCTCCCACCGCGCGCAGGCCGCCATGGGCCTGCCTCCCCACCCCCCCCACGCCGCTGCTGCCCCCCACGCTGCTGTGCCACCTCAGGCTGGAGCCGGGGCTGCAGGGGGTGGGGGAGGGGCGGCAGGGGTGGAGGGAGGTGTCGGCGGGGCGGCAGGTGGTGTGCAGGGCCAAGCAGGTGCGAGGCTAAGTGCTCTCTGCCCCACCCCTCTTGCCTAGCCCCACCCCGCTTGCATGCCGTTGCTTGACTGTGCCACCCCTCCCTTCACTGGCTGCTTCTCGCCTTGCCTTTCATGCTCCGTTATTCCTCATTCCCATCTTCAGTCTCATTGTGTGTCACATCCTTCGTCTCATCTTGTGTGCTGCAGCCGTTCAAGCCTTGCAACAGCAGCCACCACAGCAGGGAGTGCAGCAGCAGCAGCAGCAGAGGCGGGGATGGCTACAGGAGGTGCAGGTGTTTGTGGTGGGCTTCCTCACATCGCTGCTGCCTGGCTTCCAGCCGCCCGACCATCTGCCCGCTGCCCTGCCACCCCAGGCCGACCGCCCTCACCAGGATTAGAGATGAAATGTTAACATCAGTTAGTCGGCTCAAAAGGACAACAGTCCGTTCAAGTATCTCAATCAAAATATTCTAACCTTTTCTTTTAACTATTTGCACAAAAGCTACACTGAATCAAAACTATTTCGCCATCACCTTCCATCGACTTCCGCCGAACCACTGACGGGTTCGCTCACGGATGCTGCCCATATTGCACCATTTTCCTAGCTTTTCCTACGCCACAGCCTCATTTCCATCGTCGCGCGCGAGCGCACTCGAGTCGGCACGCGGCAACCCCTAGAGTCTCAAGCTCCTCACTCCTTCCAATCCTCGCCCCACAGGCGCGGCAGCGACGGTCCGCGCGCCGCTCGTGGCGGCTGTCATGGCGTCCACCCACTCAGACGCCGCGGACTCCCAATCGGACGGCTCAGATTCTCCAATTCTCGTGGAGCGACCGGGTCCGTCCGATGTGACTACGGTTGGCGAACTGGCAGACAGGGAGGCCGCAGGGGGCGCAGCCGCTGGCGGGGCGGAGTCGAAGGCGGACGACTCGTCCGCGGAACCACCATGCAGCGATGGCGCGCCCGGCGATCCGCGGAAGGAACGCGCGGAGCCCCCGGGGCAGGACGAGGCGGAATCCGCAGCGGCGCTGGTGTCGCCGTCGAAAGCGCACGGGCGAGAGAGAGGCGCGGCGGGGTCGGGGCAGGGCGAGGTGGCGGCGGCTGTGGGGCAGGTGGCGGCGGGCGTGGCTGCGGGCGTGGCGGGTCTCGCGAGCAGCGCGGGCGCCGAGGCAGCCGCCGTCGTGAGCAGCCTGGGCGAGCGGGTGAGTTGGGGGGGAGGGGGGGGGGGAGAGGGG